GTTAAAGCTCTTATGGAAACAAACACGACGCGTTATGACATTTATAGAACATGCCACGTAGCGAAATCAATGTTGTGGCTGTCATGCCATTCGACCATGCGTTGTAGCGATGAAGAAAAACCATGAAGCGTATTGAATCATGTTTGATTAAGTTATGTTAGGTTAGAGTATGACAGGGTTTCCATCTCGTACTTCGGCTGCGGGATCGCCGGGGTTCGGCTGCCGCATACACCGTTCGGTGTGTGAAGTGACCGGGCCCAGGTGGTGCCGTGACCGGAGTTGCGACTAAGGGACGATGAATCGATGACTAGCCTGGACACAGACAGAAACCGGGGCTATCGGGGAGAGGATTCACGAGGGTTCAGCCCAGGAAAATTTCTCTACGAGACGGATTAGGGTGGGAGATGCTCAGTCGCGCAGTCAGTCTGATGGGTTAACTCGCTCGACCGGCATTGCACGCCTTTGTCCGTCTGGGGGGTTAGATTCAAATATTCTTGAATCTTTCCCCCAACCCGTGGTGAGACTCACCCTGTATCGACCTTTGGGATGGGCCGAAACGGGGACGACAGGCGCGGGTAGTGGTCCCTTCGGGACCTTTACTGCGCGTTTTTTCCCATGGAGAGGGACGTTAGGTTCTAGTAGGTATGCCCCTGCTATTTGACTAACCCTCATTCTGGGAGTGGCTCCGCAGGGGAGAACCCACAAACCAAGCGAGCACAGCGAGCATGCCGCGGCAGCGGCTGGCAAAGTGCCAGAAGCAAATCGCTATTGTAATATGAAACAGCTAGTTAAATTAATGCTCAGAATACGTCGTGGCTTTTCTTCATTGGCAAAACGCGGTCATGTCAACCACGACACGGATTTCGCTGAGGTTATTCTGCGATTGCCACAACGCGTTATGATCATTTTTTTCGCTCATTGAGCGATGTCGATCTTTGTACGTAACAAAGACATAAAATTTAGATGAAAATATTTTATACGCGTAAAAAAGCTGATTCATCACCATAAGCCTAACATTCCTACTTTTAAGGTTACAGGTTTTCTCTATAGATAGGAATGCGTAAGGAGAACCTGCGTAATTCGTAAAGAGCACATTGAAAAACGTAGGTAACTAACCACGCATCAGCAGCCCTTTAACGTCCCCACTGCAAAGCTTAGGCTTTTCTAATGGATGGTTACGGAGGATGGGCCATCCCCCAATCCGCGCCATTATACCAGAGTAAAGAGTCCACGCTGGTATTACATTAATGACTGCTAAAACCACCGGGATCAACAGCTTCCGAAGTACGGAGTAGCTCGTGATAATAATCGTTTGGTCACCCATCCCGTCACCAACCCTTTGTGAAAGTAGCTTAACAACAACGATCGCGGGCCGCAGCACTTAGCCACTACGCCATCGAGCTACTCACTACGCATGACCAGTGCTAATTTTTATATTGATTTTATTGCCCACCTTACCACTTATTTTTCTCCACATCACCCAAAGGCTAACTGGTAGAGAATGCCACAGAAATTAAATGCGCCATTTTACACTAAACATGAAGCGTAAAATAAAAAGTAAAAACAAATAATATGGTAATGCGTAAGGAGAACCTATGAGAACATGGAAGAACGGACCATAACGCATGCTCAGTGCTAATTAACAGGTTTTAACGTCAAATGCACCAGTACCAAAGGCTTAACGTGCCTACCGAAGAACACCTCCGTTCTCCGGACGATAAAATTTGATAATCATCTGATGATCTAATTATTTGCTTATCCATATATATTATATTTCGTTTGAGGCGCAATATGCCTTTTTGTTCCACAGTCTCCTTTTCATCCATATTATACTCGTATTTACATTGTCTATACATATTTTCTTCATCAATGTATATGTGACAAAAAATGTGTCGCGTCTCGTCGATTACGGATCGACGGAATTCACAAATATATGACACTAACTGTTATTCCGCGACTACGCCAGAGTGAACCATAGCCTATGCCACCCGCATATAATATAGCTCCACGTAGGTGAAAGATTGTCAAATCTTTATTTTTTATAATTAGTTTCCTTAGATAACATAAACCATTGACGGATGATCCATCGCGTAAGATTTGCACCGATTCTTACATCATTCATATTTTTATTACTTAAGTACATGTGTTTCATGTGTGTAAATTGCCTCGCACCGCGAAATTTCGAATCACCTCACTAAGGCACTAAAACTAAAAAATGAGATGTATGTATGCCAAAGACAATAAAACATTACATATCTAAACAAAGGCGCAGAACGATTGAATTAACGCAATACAAAAGGAATGTCAGAGTAGAGCGCGCCCTGTGTGGCTCAAACTAATGGTCAATTTGTTCGTCACATTCGCTACGGTAGTACAGCTTACCTATTAATGACGCTGGGATCTTAGTCAACTACTCTGTTCTCGGTTTATGTGGAAACAGTTCCTTTTAAGCTTAGTAACTATAAGGTTCAACATCATAGCTTTATAAACTGCTATATTGTTTATGATCAACAGTATTTTGCTGTTAATATCTTAGAGTTTTGTACTTCCAGTGATGCAACTTTCCACTCACATACTGATATGCCAAATGATCCTTCATATCATGACTAGGAGCATTCGTTTTGGGCGTATATACCACTGCTATCAAGTAGTAGTAGCTCAAAGACCAGGGAGACAAGAAAAACAATCAGGGCAATATAGATATAACTCTTTATTGCTCACACACGTAAGAAAAATAAACATCAAGTTTTTTATCTCTAGATTCAAACGTTTATAAATTTAACATATAAAATTTAAACTCAAATAAGTAAAAATTAAAAAGGCTTTGTTACTCGCTGTGAATTTTAAAACATCAGTAACTCAAGAAAAAAGCCTAGAAATAAGTCATCATATGAATTAGAAACTCATACCAAGTTGAGAAATTACATTAAAACCATTGTATTATACTGTAAAATCATTAAAAGCTCTTTAACTGTTTACTGCCATAATAATAACATTCGCTGGTTTTAATTGATGTTATTGGAAATAATTGTGAAGGAGCCACGTCCACTTCATGTCTAGTTTTAACAACCGCTATACTTAATGCCCCTTAATGACATCGTGTTTAGTCTAAAGCCGTGGGACAACTGCCGTTAGCACATGCAGCGTAAATAAACAAATCTTCAACGGTTGAACGATGACAGTGAACCAATTATTAACTACTAAGATAACTCCAGCCTCAAAATGAATTAAACTTCAAACTGAACTTGTTATTAAGGTAAAAAAGGAGCAAAAACCACATCTCCTTGTAATGAAAACAAAATCCTTATTACGTCCGAGTAAAATTAACGTGCCGAGGCCTTTAAAGACTGCACGATTAAGTTGAAAAAGCTGATTCAGGTTCATTCGTATCGACCTGTTTCAAAAAATTCAACACCTTTCGTCATCATCTTTTATATCATGCGCACCAAGAGTTCAATGGTTTATTAGAAAGCAATTCAAAATTGAAGCATAGTAGGTGGCGCCACTATTAAGGGGCGATTGAAAGTGGTGGCGCGGCCGCTGCAGGCCCACATTAGCCCGCCGTATTTCACGAGCCGCCCGTCGAGGTGAGAACATAATAAGCGGTTCGGGGCCATTTTTAATATTCCGGCTTCATTACACGTATTACAAACGTCTTGGGTGGCGAATTCTATCGCGAACGCTCTTAATGCCGGGTTATTAAGGCTGCTCAAGCGCAGGGGCGGGCCGAAATACCGATTTATTTGAATTTTTGCCCCGACTCAATTTGGGAAATTGTTCGGCCGGCGGCGATGGCGAAATTAAGACGTCAGGGTGATTGCAGTGAGGCGTTTCATTATGTAAATGTTGCTGGCTAGCTGTTGTGGGTGGCGTAATTATGCCAAATGCGGTCACGTATAGAGACAATTCTGATTTATTTCGCGGGACTTTGAAATATGTTGCCCGAGAGGGTCCGATCGGTCGATGTCTATTTTTAGCCGGTTAAGAGTGTTACTGATTGCGTCCATTATTTGCAATCATGCGGTAAATCTGTATTATGAATTCACTCACTCTTTTTGGTTGTGGCTTCATGACCGTGGCTGTCGGCATTATCTCATCTTTGAATTCAAACTTTCCAATATGACAAATTACTCGTTCTACTTTCCAGTGATTACATATATTGAAAGTCCCTTTAACGATATGGTTTTTAAATAGTGTTGCCTATAATATAATTATTTATTTAAGTTGAAAATTCTAAAGTGGCTAGAGAATTGGTATGTCATAAATACATAATAATATAACCATCATACTTACTTTAAAAATAAATAATATTTTGATAACAAAACCAGTTTTTTGGTATAAAGTTTTTAATTTAAAACTTTCATTCAATTTCCGTAATTGAAGCATTATTATTTTCTTGTAATTTTATAGGCGAATCCAAAACTCAAAGTAAAAGTTCTGCAGGCCTCGGCATCTTACAATAATCTTAACTACATATTTGCATTTTACCATTGTACCATCTGCCTGAAGTCTAATATAAATATATATCTGTCACATTGCAATTATATTTTTGGACTTTATTGGTGAAACGGGCTCGATGCTTAAGCAAATTAATAAAAGGCTGATTAAGCTTGAGAACTTGATTTAATTATTATTTATATTATTAATTTAGTAATTAAACTTTATTATATTTGTTTTGATATAGTATACATTTTTCTTGAGTTCAAATACAATAAATTGCTATTGATTGAAATTAAGTATGTATAATGTATCTATTAGGACTACATCATCATACTTGATTGAAATAAGGTATGATGATGTAGTCCTAATGGCTGAGACCTTGGAAGACCTGAACAATATGCTTGAAGATCTCAGTAGTGCATCTCAAAGCACTCTTTGCCACACACAAATGCAGGTCGTTGAGATTCTATAAAGATGCGATTATTACGTAGGTAAACATTAGCAGAAATGGTCTGCAAATAACAAAAGACAAACTAATGAGGTTTATGATGTTTTTGCAGATTCTATCATCTCATATGGAAGTGCGGTGCAAATGCCATGGCCTGTCAGGCAGCTGCCAGCTTCGAACCTGTTGGAGAGCTACACCCGACTTTAGGGTGGTAGCATCTACTATAAAGAGACAATATCGAAAGGTAAGTCTCCTTCTCGTTCGGATTGAAAGACAGAAACTGTCTGTTTATTATTCGGTTTTATCTTGTGTTTTGTAATGCTATTTAAAGTAACATTTAAAAAAAGGTTTCCAAATTTGCAGTTCTATGTACCTAACTCGTTCAGTTTTATGTTTTAGGCATTAATGGTGGCCCAAGAAGAATTAAACAGCGGCGTATCCGTGCTAAGAGGTCGACCACGAGGCAGAAGGAGGAGTCGTGCCAAACCAGCGCCTAAAAATAGTCTATTATTCTTCGAAAAGTGAGTAGAGCCATTTTAATTTACATTAAAAGCTGATTGCATTTATTTTTTCTTAAGAAAACAACAAGTCACAACCCAACCAAATTTAGTGCATGTTTGAAGACTTGGTGCTCTAGTAACAATTTGAAATTAACCATTGTCCTAAATCATGCGTTTACTGAACAGCTTAACTGATGTTAGTAAGGTAATGTTACTTACCTGATGAGCTAGGTACTAGCTGAGTGTGGAGAAGTACTACTCGTAAAAATAACACCTGCTCTATTTCTCGGAAAACGATATTTCATCTATTTTCAAAATGCTAAAAATAATTTATGATGCAACGAAGGTTGGATCTGACACTTCCTCTGATGCGAAGTATTCAAGTATTATGTTAATTCATACCATTTATAGGTAAGTTATTCTAATCATACTTTATTTACTGTCTAGGTCACCTAGTTTCTGCGACGTCGATCCCAAAACTGATTCATTGGGAACATCCGGTCGCGTATGTCGAATCGGGCGGACATCCCGGACTGGGTCTTGCGATGTGCTTTGCTGCGGACGAGGGCACGCGCTCATGAGGAAGTCGAGTATCAAACCTTGCAACTGCACGTTCCACTGGTGTTGCCGCGTCGACTGCCAGAGGTGCACTGACGAAAAATGGATAGCGGTGTGCAAATAAACTAGGACTAGGATTATTCATGAGAAAAAACTACGTGTATACGTAAAGGTGCGTCCACATTTATCATGGACCGTATTTTGATATTGTTGACGCACGATATTAATAAACACTGTAGCTTAATTTCAGCTGTTGAAATGTCACAAATTAAGAAAGCACCATAACTTGAAAGACAGAATAAATCGAGATACTACGTACTTATACTAAAGGCAAAGACACGGTTATAAATAGCCCATCCTGCCACGACCTGCGTGTTGCCGTGTGGAGTTTTTCATATATTTAGTACAGTACGTTAGTTCATCTCGCATATCGTGGAAATACCCAAAACCTCACGCATGACATAAACATCCATTTAAATATCTTATTGTGATCTTGAACAACTTAAATGAATTATAGTAACGATTAACTTTTTTTGTGGCGGTCAAAATTCAATATTCACGATAAAATCATAAGATATAATTTTATTGACTCAATGTTAATTTAACTGACCAGTGAAGATAGTACTATACGTATACGTATATATAAGTAATTACTTGAATAAAAGTAGAGTAAGGTGGGGCACAGTGTCACAAAAAAAAAACAAACGACGATGTGGCGACGAAAGTATCGATTTGATCAACTTTTAACTAACTTGAATATAAACTATAACTACCTATCTCTACTTACTTAGAATTATTTAAACATGATTGTAATTAGCAACAAGCTAAGTCGATTGTAACACTGTGCCTCGTATCTGGGGTACTCTGTTACAGGACAAGTTCTTGTACTTTTGGGAATAAATAAAAATAAAAATTGTAAGTTGCGACGTTGGGGCTATTCCCTCCTTTACATATCTTTGCAACGCCATGAAATTAATATTATTTTCATTTGGTGCTTTTAGAAAGACTTTCGAAGATTTATCTCACTTTGGTCCATCAGAGTCATTTCTCTCATATTTGTTTCAGTATGAAGAACGTGATCCATCTTTCTATTACGATTACTTACCGTTTTCTTTTAAAACCTATGCACAAAACAAACTAGACATTAGTTGTTACAGTGTAACACGGTGTCCCGTAACACAGTGCACCAGATGGGTAAGCCGAATAAAAAAATCAAAAGAGTAATAGAGATTGTGTTTACAGTAAACAATTAAACGATAATATGAAGCCAAAAACCAGTAAATACATGTAAGCCTTAATTACTTAAACATCATATATCAGGAAAAAATTAAAAATCTTCAATGTAATTTTTTTTACGTTTGGTCACATCATCGTTTTTTAACATCAATATGCGGGATAAAGTGAGGTAATGCAAACTGATCCAAGATGGTCATTTAAGGTCTGTATACAAACATTTTAAAAATTAATGCCCGGGATGGAGATATGTGCATTGTAACAGTATGCCCCGTGCAACACTGAGCCTCACCTTAAGTAAATATTTTTAACAAATAAGCTAATTTTAATGAAGTAAGAACTCTAAAAATGAAAGTACTGTTATTATTAGATACTCACTTGTGTTATTTCGAACATATTCTCGTCTATTGGTTAAAAATATTTGCTTAAGTTAATACTTACACTTAAGAACAGGTTTTTTTGTCTGTCTGTCAGGTAGATTATTCAACACGTATTTATTTATTATTTGTATAACCAATAATTAATAGCCATACATTAAGTTGAAATGGCGCATTTTACATTTTTACATTTTCTACAGAGTTGTGACAGCGAGCCTCCGCTACTCAACTTTAATGCCTATTATCTAAGCCATTTCTAATAAAATTTTGTTACAGATATCAATAATGTGTATACAGCACTATTTTCTTTCCACTTGGTACTTTTAAACATTTAATGAATAAACCTTTTTTTATTTTACATTTTGACTACCTCTATGGCATCCTTTATTTTTGGAAACTTGTGATCGGTTTTATTGAGTTTATATATTTTATCAACAACTGTAAGTTTTCCAAAAATAAATATAAAATAAAACTTAATAGAAACGCACAATCAACATTACGTTGTAACACGACTTTTTGTGATATTTATAATGTGTTGTAGATGATTCTATGTAGGTACCTATTTCACAGATAAGAAAAAATATTTCACAGCTTATAATTTGTTTTATATTTAAGTCAATCAATTTTTAAAACAAGAATGGTGTGCATTTTTTCATTGAACCTTTTGAAAGTCTCAAAGGTAAGTATTCTGTTTCCATTCGAATATAATTTGAATAAATTAATAATGACGTGGCCTCAGTTGGTGTCTGTCTGACGGAAGATGCGTCGCGTCTCGTCAGTCGCACAACGTCAGAACTGAGAAACATGTATGGCGTTCACGGGCAGTTTACAAACGTCCATTGGGGTTCAGATCCAAACTTCTTTAAATTACACAAAATATTTTGGAGTCTTTTTTTCTTTTCTGGCAAGTCTAAATCAATTAAAGTGCCCCTAAAATAAGACACCTTTCTTTGTTGTGGTATATCTTTGTAGATATGAATAATTTTTGATCTGGGAATTCAGGACTACATTAAATTTGTTCATATACTGGGACTCTGGGTCTTCCTCGCTAGCACCTTATTTAAAACCCGGTCTGCAGGAGCGTAAACCTATTCCTTCCATCATATTAGACTCACTTGTTCCGAGTCGATTAAATAAAAAAATGTGTATCAATCTCTCAAATAAAAAAGGTATATTAAAGTATATTTAAATAAACGATCAGTATTCTGTAAAACTAAACTGTAGTTTACTGTAAATATATTCAATTTTACAATTACATTCCCTGTGCCGTGATATTTATTGACTCTATTATTTATTCTAATTTTAAGATCAATTACATTGTCAGTTTTTATAAGAATAAAAATCATTAAATACTTTTTGCGTTTTCTTTTTACATCCTCTAAACTTATGAGTTAAAAAGCAAGTCTTTGTGCTCCTTGCTGTAAAAAAAATTAAAGGTTCCATTTTCAAAATGTTATTGAACACATCAAAGATCAAAGGAACTCACAGAAGCGACAACTCAATGACTCAATATTATCTTGTTACTTCCAGTTAATTTGGCCACTCCTCTCAAGAGCCCTTCTCAACGTGCCAACGCGTTGTTGTATGGATGGATACCTACTTATAAATAAACGTTGAAACATCTCAAAAACATCAAAAGTGAAACGGTACTTAGGGTTTAATACAATATTTTTTGTTTAAAATTCAAAATTATGGCCGATAATTGGTTTGTAAGCTTTGTTCTCTTAAAAACCTTCTATTAGAAGTATTAACGTTTATCTAATATATTAATAAAACGTCGGTCAATTTTAATATAATTCGGTATTTAAGAATGTGTACATTATACTGAGGTTTTATTATGAAAGATTATACTTCTTTATAATCGTTTTAACATTCAGTAAGCAATATCAAACATATGTTTACGTGTAAGTGATGTTTTTCATGGTAAATAGTGGTGTTATACTTTTATACTAATCGTACTTTAATGATTTTTTAAAGTATTAGATTTTAAAAAGAACAACGCTATTCTCTACAATGTACTACAAGAGTCTACATTTTGAGAATCGAAAGGCTATTTGGTTTAAGCGAAATTTTCCAGTGATATTGAATCATACCTATAGATACCTAGCCATTAGAAATTAACGAAATTTGTAGATTCTTAATATACATACTTATAAATCAATATTGTCAAAACTTATAAGCGTATCACACCTTGATATAAACTTCATCTTTGCGAAACTTCATGCTCTTCGTAAAAGGGGATACAAAGTTTTTGCTCCACGTATTAATTTAATGATTATAACCTATTAACATTAACACAATAAAACACATTCTAGCGTAACATCGAATTAATAATACTATAATAATAACATAAAGTACCGTTAGCATTTCAAAAGGAATGAAACACAAATAGTTTGAGATCTCTAATTTTCGTTTATATTAACAGACAGGTAAACAGTCAACAATGCGTTCATTCCAGATCTATGAATGGATTGTATTTGAGAACCTTTAGCGGATTACTAGTGACTGAATGGAATATATCTTTGTTACGAATGCATCTTTTGTATTGTGTTAAAGTGAAACTTTTAAATTATTAGCACACTAAAATACTATTACGAGGATCGCCACTGATAAGATACGCGAAAAATTTAAAAAAACGCGTTTCAAATAGTCATCATCATCATCATCATCAGCCCTTTACTTCCCCACTGCAGAGGCTCAGGCCTTCCTTATGGATGGTTAAGGAGAATGGGTCATGACCCTCCACGCTGGTCCAATGCGGATTGGAGGGTATTAACGACTGCTAATGCAACCGGGACCAACGGCTTACGTGTCTTCCGAAGCACGAAGTAGATCGAGATAGTATTTTTTTGGTCACCCATCGAGTGACCGACCCTTGCGAAAGTTGCTTAACAACTACGATAGCGGGCCACGGCGCTTATTCTTTAGGCTACTGAACTACTTTAGAGTTTCAAATAGTAATTTACAAAAATGCCCATTAAGCGTCATACAACATTATGCCAAATAATAAGATCTTATACATATTTTGTTATTAAAACACAATCTCAAAATTATAGCTGTTAATAAGGCTTGTTCCGGATTCATCCTACGCTTCATGCCATTTCTTTACTCATCCCAAGTATTTTTGCTTTGTAACGTGGCTCTCGATATTGTCTCGTATTCTCGTGAATGCATGCTCCATATATGGCTCATTTTGGTCGACAGAACTTAAAATGAGCTTATTTATGCCAAACTGTAGTATTAAAAAAACTCGCTTTAAAGTAGCATCTGTTTTTCTTTTAGTATAGCGAAACCTTAATAAAAGAATGCTTTTCCGAGTTAGAACGCTTGATTGAAGAGACTGTAACCGAAATCAAGTATCTTTTTTTTATATTTGGCAACAAAATTATTTTTAGAATGCGAACAGGAATAGAATACCGAACCGAATCGATTCTGGAACTCTTTAAACACCAACCGTTTAGTTACGCCTGTCGTAGGTACAGATATCTTAAGTATGTATTTACACTGAAGGAAGTGTAATTGAAAAGCTTTCAAGATAGATGTGTTTCCAATAAGTAGTGATTGAAGGGACTAGGAAGTTTGTGTCGTGGGTGACTGATATCCTGCTTTTGACTCTGTAAGTATCCTATGGAAGATAGAATGTTCTAATAGTAAAATTTGAATTAATATCATTGAATTTGAATATCTAACTATGCTGAGAAGAAAAATTTATAAATAAAATATTTGAACCTGTTAGGTTACTTATTACACTTTTTTGGACTTTATTGTTTTACTCACAATCGATATGATAATTTTCTTTAGTAATCCCTGATCAAGCTAAAGGCGTCAGCAGCAGTTAATCGAAACCAAACTATTTTTCCTTGATCGGAACCTACGTACTATTTTTTCGTGAACACTGCTAATACATTGCATTGTACCTGAGGAAGTATTAACACTAATATCTATAGTCGAGAGAAGTAATTACTTGAGAAAATGTCATAACTCAAGCAAAAGACGAAAATTTTAACGAAGAACGAACGAACTGTCAATTACTAATTATAAGAGTATTCTAACCATTAACAGTTCTTACTTCATTTACTTCCTTGTTTAAATGGTAAAAATATCTGCTTAAGACATATCTTAATAACATATTCTTTACTTCTTTTAAATCCTTAAGTGGTGAAAAAATATGCTTAAGACATATCTTAATAACATATTCTTTACTTCTTTTAAATCCTTAAGTGGTGAAAAAATATGCTTAAGACATATCTTAATGACATATTCTTTACTTCTTTTAAATCCTTAAGTGGTAAAAATATCTGCTTAAGACATATATTAATGACATATTCTCAAGTAATTACTTCATTCCACTATTGATACGAGTGATATATTTTACTATATGAAAAATATAAACTGTCGCAATCACCGGGAGTTTTCTCTGTAGTTATCAGGTAAGGTAGAAACAGCGAACTACGCGTTTATTGCAAACTATCTGTTTACTCGAGGATTCGCTCGCGTGAATCCCTACGTCACCTACGTATATATACTACTACTCTATGTATCGCTTTCCAGTAGTTTCAGAACCTATTTAATGTAAACAAAACAAATATTTCCTAATGATATTAATGTTATTAAGGATAAGAAGCAGACAGTCAGTTACAGGTACTCACAAATATTTAACAATATTTACACGTACAACTAGTAGAGCATTTTCTGCTTGTATACAATAGGCTTGTGTCCTACAAGTGAAAATACAGGTTTTTGTTATATCTTCGAAAGATATGAACCATTTCAACTTATAAATGTTTAACAAAACAAATTTTATGTCACTGATTTGAAACTTTCATTATAACAGCTATAAACATAAACGTACAAATAATAAAGATATTACGAAAAATGTCCAGACGCTCATACATTTTTCGCTACTGTAGCACCGTGTGAGGTCACTGAGTGCCTTGAATTTGTAGGGTACGTTTTCAGCCAACTAGCAGCAGTTCTACAAACACAGCACAGTATCTCCGAAACTATTAATCGCAGACATGCTGTTACTTCGACATTATTTCTCAGATGTTAATGGACTATTTATTTACGAAATAAAAAAAAGGTTGTCAACTAGCCTATTTGCGTTTCTTGCCGGAGATGGACTAGTATATGATTGTAAACATTATTTACGCACCATGCCCCTAATTAATAACAACACGCGACCCCAATTAAATTGTCCCCAAGGTATCGGCAAGGTCGTCCCGCATTACTTAACTGTATTACTGGGGATTAACGTCCATGAAGCCCTGCCACTTGTGAGGGTTCTGACTAGCCACTGACCACTCGCCCTAGCGGCGTGCGACCAGCGTGGTCGACTACACATCGGTGAGTGAAATTTCAAAATTAAAAAAGTGTATTTAATTGTATTATTTACTAATTGTGTCAACATTTAATTGCTTAATTTCTAATTAAAATATCTAATAAATTAAATAGCGTGGTGAAATACAATATGTTATTAACAGTTTTATGTAGTTAGATGGTCTAAGTGTCCTATCATCCATCACAGTAGATTTTTTTTTATAACTTTGATATAGACTTCACAGTGAATATCAATCATACAATGAGATTGTTAGCCTAATCCTTGTGATGATCAGACAGATTTACAAATAAATTTAAAGTGTGCCTACAAGTGTCCACTTTGTTTACGATATCAGTAGAAAAATATGTGCGTGATTATTTTTATCGTTCATTTTCTATCAAGATACACAGACCGTCCGTCGACCTCTGTGGCTATCGACATATTGGTCGACAGAGATCACGGGTTAGATTCCAGGTCGAATAATGTAGAAAAATAACTTTTCTATTTTATCTCTCGTCTGCAGGACAATCATCTCAATAGAATCTCAGCGACTTGTATTTTGTACTATCTACCTAAAGTCCAATATTATTAGTACAATGTCTTATTCACACATTAATGGTAACAGATATATGTAATATAGGACTTCAGGTACATAGTACAATGTCGAAATGCAAGAAATTGAGATTATATACAGATCCGATTATTAAGTTAACATTACATTAACATAATTGACCCGCTGGATGTAATGGTACTTTCGATGTTTCAGATTTCAATGATACAAGGGCTTTAAATACTAACTCTAGTATCTGAGCAATATGTGTGATTTTGTCTTATATTTATTTAAATATTGCTAGATACTTTTATTTTCTACATTTCAACAGATTTGCTCAACTAATCGCATGCTAAACCTTATAAAATGAAGGACGGACTTAACGTGACGACTCTACCCAGTCCTCTGGATCGCTACACCTTAGACACCAAACTTGGTGCCGGTATCTTCGGCGAAGTGTTCAAGGCTGTGGACAGTCAAGCAGCTGGAAAATCCGTAGCTGTTAAAATCCAAACCTACAACGATGACAACGAGATACACATACAGGAAGAATATAAAATCCTCAGGGACTTCACGAAACATCCAAACTTGATTGATTTTTATGGGGTCTTCTGTGAAAAATCAGAAGGCGTAAAGAAAATCTGGTTTGTCCTGGAGGTAGGCACATCTGCACTTCAATATTGTATTGCAAAGTATCAATAAATATTCAGCATATTCCAATGAAATAATAAGCAAAAATGAAAGTCACCTAGAAAATCTTGTCATTGTACAACTCAAACAGTTAAAAACCACGATATTTACGTCAAAGTTGATACTATCGCCTTATTCCAGTTGTGCGAATGCGGGTCTGTCATCGACATTGTCAGTAAGCTGCATGCAACAGACAGGAGAATGTCCGAAGAACACATCGCTTACATACTCAAATATACAATCAAGGTGAGCCCATACCCGACTGACTATAAACATGTCTCTCATCACATTCGAACCAAAGCTGTTTACAAAACAAAGGGACTGCCAATCCAACTTTCAACCACTGAATCAATTGGTGGATACTTTGAATGCAAACTCAATTGTTCTCCCGATCCTTGTCCGGACGATTTCTGTTCATCGAGTGACGTCGAATAAAATATTGCCCGGCGAATGTCCACGTACGTTGAAATACTATCTAGGGCCATTACTTAAAATGCACGCCGCTTTATTTGATGTGATTCGCGATGGAACAGTTGAACTTGTCGATGCGAATGTCGGTGCGCGCCCGACAACACCGTGATGGCCCCCCATCGCGGCGCATCGCTCAATTATCGTAAATAATGCTCGCGCACACAAGATATACGGACCTCTACCGCAGTAGCCAAGGATCCATCAAACTCTAAAGCAACCATACGAAAATAAACTTAACCATCAACAGTTTTAAGTGCAAAATTGTTAAATGGAATAAAACTTTTAAGCTTTTAAGCAATGAGCAGGAGATAAATGCGTATTATCTTTATGCAAGCCACTTGCCCACAATACCAGTGCTTCGTCCTTTTCGTTCGGCAGATCTTCCACGCATATCTATCGATGTTGCATCTCGTAAGCTACAATCAAATACTAATGTGATGTGACACTTATAAATTCCATAGTATCGATGATTGCACAAATATTTTTAAATTTCATATAAAGATATTATCGTTTTGCCCACTTGTAACATAAAGATTCGGCTTCTATGCCTAAATTGAACATTTACAATGTAAAAATTATGGCCAAAATAATAAAAAGTTAGCATAAATAATGTATTTCAATATTTCACTACCTAATCCAACTAATTTATACCCCCTCAGTTTTTTTAATACCCTATCTGACATTACATGTTCAGTTTGTTTGGGATAATATAACTCTTATTTGTTATTTTTCTTAAATTCTTCACCTTTTTCTTCGTTTAATTATATCTATTCATAACATAAAATAAAATTCTACAAAAAAGTCCAATAGGTCCCCCCAACCTCAAGTTTTAGTGAGACTAAAAAATAACGTTTCATTGATAACACTAACATGTGTTGGTTTGCAACAGTGAAGTTATACTGTTTTTCTGACATTATATTATACACATGTTTACAAAACATAGTATTTACATTTATCGTATAATCATACGAACTTCATAACATGTCATTAAGAAAACCTAGTAGCTACTCCGTCTAAGGAATAAATTTAACAAACTATAGTATTCACCTACATCACATCACTAAAAACTAAACGATCGTAATGAACGCATTAAACACACTGATATATCAGACAGTAGAAAGCGCGGACAGGCCGCCTGCGACAGCACTGCGCCCGCGCACCGATACGTATGCAAATAGCCTCCAATGAATCTCAGGGGCGTGGACCGTGTGACTGACACTGACGTTACTATCGCCGACCCGTCTTAACGATCCCGTGTGTGAGACAACCATTCGTTAGGGGCGGTCACTCCATCACTCTACGTCAAACATACGTGTTGACTCCCGCTATTGGTCCGATAAATCCATCTCATCCCATTTGCATTAACTTCTAGGCACTCGTATATTTGCACGAGAACAATATAATCCATCGGAATGTGAGGTGCAGTAATATATTGATAACAAAAGATGGTGAAGTGAAACTAACTGATTTTGGACTCTCGTGCAAATTGAACGATACTCTTGGCAAAAGCACTACTACCATTGGATCACCTAGTTGGATGGCCCCCGAAGTTGTTGCCAGTGGAGGTGGTTATGATAACAGATCAGATGTATGGGCATTGGGGATAACAGCTATTGAAATGACTGACGGCAAAGCACCTTTTGAAAATATGCATCCGACAAGAGCTTTATTTCAAATCGCCAGAAATCCTCCCCCTGGTATCGCTAAAGCATCAATGTGGTCAAACGACATCAATGATTTTGTAACAGAGTAAGTATAATAATACGATGTGTTGAAAAAGCTTTTAAGCATGTCACAATAGTTTAACCCAAATCTATTTGAAGGTGTTTAGAAAAAAATCCCGAACATCGTCCATATATGATGGAATTAGAAGAACACCCTTTCATACAATCAGTTCCTGAAAATGATTACCACGTGGGTATAATTAATTTTACCAAAGAATCTTTAATTTTTTTTATATTTAAAAAATCCAGTGTGTATAACTTAACTTTTATATTTTGATTTCAAAAGCTCACAACTGAACTAAAAATGATGGTAGAAGATTTGAAAGGAGTAGAAGCTCCTAGTAAAAGATCCGAAAGAATAATAAAAAATAATTTGCTGACAACGGAAGGAGTGCATAATCCTGAAACAATGCAAGTGGAAGACCTAGCCGCACTCGATCACTTAACAGAAGAAAGCGTACTTGCTGAATTACAAACTAAACTGGTGAAAGGATCATCGACATCTTTTATTGGTGACGTGCTTCTTATTCTAAATTCAAACACAAACGACAACAATTATGGTGAAGATGTAAGTTAGTTTTTGTTTCATTGTCAAATCAATTAGTAACATTACAAATAATACTTTTTCTTAGAATAATATTGGTTAACTCATTATTTATAACCTACTAAAACTCTATTCTATAATGTGATCTGATTACTATTCGTTACATTTAACTATTTATTACTTCAATTGTTTATTACAGAAATATTTTACATCACACGTTTAATTTTAATTACAGTATCATCAAAAATATGAATGCAAATCAAGATCTGATAATGAACCTCATATTTTTGCTGTAGCTGATAGTGCTTACCAAGACGCGTTACATCATAATGAACCCCAACATATTGTATTTTCTGGTGAAAGTAAGTCCGGGAAGACTACAAACATGATACATGCTTTATCACATTTAACATACTTGGGAGCTATGAAAAACAATACAGCTGATAGAATACGAAAGGCTGCCAAAGTTATACAGGTCTCATTAAGTTCAGCTACGCCGATAAATTCTCATTCCACCAGAGCTATTTTTCAAATTCAAGTCACTTACGGCAATTCGGGAAAGTTAAGTGGCGCTATATTCTGGCTTTATCAGCTTGAAAAGTGGAGAGTGTCATCAACGGACATGTAAATAATCATTATGTTATACTAGAATGTCATGTAAAGGTTTTGATACAAATACCTTGTAGCACATAATAAAAAAGATATGTTTCAGGTCACATGCCAATTTTGATCTACTTTATTATTTCTACGACGCTATGAACGGAACGAACAGATTAGACGAATTTTGTTTGGAAAAAAGTAGAAAACATCGATATTTACGAATCTCCGAAGAACCAACCAAAGGAGCTAAAGGTGCCAGAGAATCTCCACAAGAAAATATAGAGTTTTATAAGGAATTCATAGAAAATCTGAAAGTCCTTGACTGGGAAGAGGAAGATATTTCTTTTCTAGAAACAACATTAGCTGCAATTCTGGTTCTCGGGAACGTTAGATTTAAAGATGGTAAAAGCGGTTCTGCAGAAATAGAAAATCCAGATGAAGCTAAAAAGGTAGCAAAATTGCTTTCTTTAGAAGAAGTAAAATTTTTATGGGCTCTATTAAATTATTGTCTAATAGAAAGTGGAACTGCTGTAAAAAGAAGACATTCAACTGACGAAGCAAGAGATGCTAGAGACACATTGGCTGCGGCTCTTTACAAAAGACTAATTGACTGGATGATCAATTTAATTAATTCAAAATTATCGTTTATGAGATCAGTTTTGTAAGTGACTGACAATATTTATGTTACTTTTCGCCATAATTACATTTGCCTATAACAAATGTATAACGATAAGTTGTTTATTTTCAGCGGTGACAAATTTTCCGTGAGTTTGTTAGACATGTTTGGTTTTGAATGTTATCATAGAAATCGTATCGAACAACTCATTGTGAATACAACTAATGAACAAATACAATTTCTATATAATCAGCGAATTTTCGCGTGGGAAATGCAAGAAACAGCAGAGGAAGAAATTCCTGTTGTTCAGTTACACTTCTATGATAACAAAAATTCTGTTGACCAACTTATGAGCAGACCTTTGGGACTCTTCTATATTTTAGATGAAGCTAGTCGTACTGGAAGTGGCCAAGAGTTTATAATGAGTATGTATTTATTCTAAACAGTAAAACAATTTAATAATGAAATGTATTTTAACAGAAACATTATGTATATTGCAGGTACGATCAGAACTACAGGTAAAGGTCCATACATTAAACTATCTGGTAGTCATGAATTCAGCGTAGCACATTATACAGGAAAAGTGAATTATGATGCAAGAGAAATGGCAGACAAAAACAAAGACTTCTTACCTCCAGAAATGATTGAAACAATGAGAGCGTCAACTAATATAACTGTACAGCAATTGTTCAGAAATAAACTTACAAAAACCGGCAACTTAACGGTATCGTCTACTCAACCAAAAGTTGTAGTACCAAAGTCAAAACCTGAAAAAGAAATGGAAAATGTAAAAGCTAGGGTATGGTAATCCGTTTTTCTCACTTGTTAAACATACAGTGTATAGGACTAATTTAAATTAGAATACTCATTTTATTTTAGAATTTGGAGATATAATATTTAAGTTCTATTGAAGTTATTTACTCATCAAATACAATTATTTATATTCAGAAATATAACACAGAATCAAAAGGTCAATACTCACAAGTACATCGAATGAGGACAGCAGCAGCAACATATAGGGCCACCAGTTTGGAAATATTGAAACAGTTATCTATCGGTCCCGGCAGCGGAGGGACCCATTATGTAAGATGCATCAGGGCAGACCTAAACGATAACCCCCGGGGATTCCAAACAGAAGTTGTCAGACAACAGTTAAGAGCCTTAGCAGTATTGGAGACTGCAAAAGCACGTCAATCCGGCTACTCATGTCGCATACCGTTCGCTGAATTTATTAAAAGGTAGAATTCGTTGTTCATTCTAATGATGGAGCTAAGTAAACTTATTAGTTTACTTAATATCTGCAAATATGCGCTCTGTTTCACTACTGTTCATTCTTTCTATACAGATACAGATTTCTGGCCTTTGATTTTGATGAGAATGTGGACGTAACAAAAGACAATTGCAGACTACTACTGATTCGACTTAAAATGGAAGGATGGATATTGGGAAAAACAAAAGTGTTTATGAAGTATTACAATGAAGAATTCTTGTCAAGGTAAAACAAGAATACTAATTACGAACTCGATTTCAAATAAGTCACTAATTAGTTAAATTACTAAAACGTATTTCAGATTGTACGAGACACAGGTAAAGAAAATAATTAAGGTACAATGTATGATGAGAGCATTTTTAGCCAGAAGAAAAGCCATCAAAAGTAAATCAAAACAATTGCGCCGTAAGTAAATTTAAAATTTTGTTTAAATAAGAAATCAAAATTTAAATCATAGAATAAGCAAGGATCAAGCATTATTAAAAAATAAATTTATTGCAGTTCTTGAACTTAAAAAACAACAGTCCTTGAATGTGACAGAAGATGAAGCGGCACTGCTTATTCAAAAAGGTAATATTTTCATAACAAATAAAAATTTAAATAGAAATTTTATTACATTAGATAAATAGGCACTCAGCTGATACTTCCATTCATTTCCAAATTTAAATAAGGTACCTAGATCAAGAAAGTGGTCCTGTGGCTTTGACAAATTTCTATGAGATTTAATTATCGCTAAGGTTTAGATGCCTGAATTTCCTAATTCAGGCATCTAAATTCCAATAAAAAATGCCAACCTTAGCGATAATTAAATCTCATAGAAATTTGTCATAGAAATCTCATTCTTAGGAAAGAATGAGGCGCAATCACGTTTTGTCTGTTATCTAAGATGTCTAACATTAGAAGAAATGACCACTGTTAAAATATTATTGCAAAAGTAAATCGACCTTATTGTTTCATGAACCTCAACTCTAAGTTTGAAACAACATATTTTAACCAATATAATTATAATCCAAATTTCAGCCTACCGCGGTTACATAGTGCGCAAAGCGTACGGTCCTCTCATCAATAAAAGTACCGGCCAGATCGATGAAGAAACTGCTACATTTTTAAAGAGGTTCGCTATGAAGTGGAAAAGCAGATCGATGTTCCAAGTTCTGTTGCAGTACAGGGCAGTCCGGTACCAGGACTTGGTTCATTTTTCTCAACAGGTACCCAAAAGCATTCTCTTGCGTTACCTATCACGTAAAAAATCTAATCAAGCCATGTTGATCGAAGCAAGTCATTAATGTAAATTTCGTTAAATTTACAAAACCTGTTGTCCTAGCTTTGCTATTCTGTATAAATACAATGTTGAACATAGCGCTATCATAGCAATAGAGATTCAAACAAATAGAACCTTTGTTACCTTTTAAAATAAATGTTATTTTATTACACATCTAATGCTGCACAGTGTTCAACGCTGCGTTTGACATTGTATTTTTAACAGAAAAACACTGCAGCTTTATTCCCACTTCTTATTATATTAGCTAAATGTAAATATCAATAAAAGCTTCCTCGATCAAACTTTGCACAATATTTGACCTTTTAGTATTGCAAACCATTACTTAACACAAAAAATTTTAGGTGCACATTTATAATCAAGCCATGTTGGAAACTCTACTGAATACCAGCGCATCCGTTCTTCTGGACCGTGTGGACCCCCAAGCCAAAGGATTTGAATTTCTTGGTTCAGGACCACCTTCAGTTTGGAAACTTCCATTTAGAATCGACCAGTTGCAGTATTATGACACTTCTTATATGTGCGATCCGACAGCTAAAAGCACGTAAGTTTCAAACTATTTTTTGCATGACTATAAATGTTCTTATATGTATATGCTCTTAAACTTAAAATATTTTTTTAGAGACACATTTGCAAGCCAATATGATTCCGATAACGAACAATGGGACGAACCGTTGAAGCGAAGATTTAGCTCCGCACAAACTGACATCAACAAAACTTCAACGAGCACACAAACATTGATGTCCGTGCCGTTCTGCAGAGATCCCACACAACCGGTGGCAAAACTACCAACCGAAGAATGTCAGCCCACAAGAAAAGATACGGTTGGAAATCGTCCCGCTGTTTATAAGAAAAAAGCAAATACTCCTCAAAATTACTACCAACCGCCAGTACCTTGGTCTGAAGTTCGGGACGACACCGACATTCTCGAAAACACATCTGGCAAACTAAGGAAGACCAGCTACAGTCGTAGTCTTTATGGTATTGACGCGCCTGATATGCAAAATCCGATTAAAGAACTACAAGCTATGGCTAAGTCTACTGGCGATATGAACGATGACGACCCTCCATTTAATTTCCAAGCCATGCTCAAAAAGACACCTCGCAACAGAGCGTCGATGAAGCGATCGGGTGAGACTGATAATGGCATATTAGAGGATAGACCGCCAAGAAGACAGGCGCCGACACCTCCCACGACACCAGTAGTTGGAAGAGTCACTCCAAGTTCTGGAAAAGTGACACCAAGCCGTAAATCCAGCCCAGCACCTCCACCGCCACGGCCACCCAGCAAGGAACTAATAAGAAAAGATTCTAAAGAACTAATCATGGCCGCCTTAAAAAAGAGAGATTCAAAAACAGATTTACTATACGCCTCTGTTATTAATAAAGTCGAAAATGTTGTTTTAGCTCCAGGTATAATTGTCGAAGGAGTAGTAACTGACTTATAAATGCAAACACAAACATCTTTTGTAGAAAATATATTTAATCTCCATTGTATTGGAAGTCCCCATACATCTTTTTAATAATGTAACATTATAAATTACTTTTGACAATTAAGTTTTAAAGCCACATGGTTTACGTTAGATCATAAGAATTTTAATGTTTGACTATTATTTCTATATGAATAGAGTTAAGTATATTAAATACAAACTGACTTAAAGCATGTTATGGCGGTATATAAAAATAAACATGCAGTGTTACTTAAAATATACATCTTAGGGACTCATCACGTCGTAGAAAAATATACATATAAATTCCCTTATATTTACTTAATTTACGAAAATTGCTTTGGTAACTTATTATTATTATTATATTATTAATAACTTAGCCTAAAAGAGTGGTCGACGTTTATATGGAATTATGAGTTAAAGCCATAGATAGGTGGGTGTATATAAAACCTAATTTTATAATAACGCTATATCGCATTGTGAAAACCATCGACAATTTATATGTCCGTCTTGATATACTACAAGCAACAAATACATTGGATAGTACACATCTAATATAACACACCCACCATATTATAGGGATTCAGTTCGTTAAACTAAGCGATCGCTTAATGGTGTGTATGTTACAAATCAATAGAATAATAAGAGCAATATTAACAACACCTGAGCAGTATCGAATCCAGATTAATTATCACAGTCTTTTGTTACGGATAGACAACATAAAGTCAAGGTAGTAAAGCTTCGCCAAAAAAAAATGCTATATAATGTAACAATATACTGCCCTTTAACTAAGGCATTTATTTCCTTTTCATTTTGGACATTATATCAACTGCCCAGACATTATATAAAGCCCGTGTTAATCATTTAGTCCACAATACATTACACCATTTTAATACAGAGTGCAAAGCTTTAAGACATGAACTAATACATGAACAGCAGCTCTACTCGTACATTCCTGTACATCCTTTTCTGATTTCAAACGTCAAATTGAAGCTCTGGGATGCTACAATAATTTTTTGAAGCAATATTAAATACAAGCAGCGAGCGGGACAGCTCTATACGGAACAATAGCGGTGTCTCGCTCACCGCTATAAAAACTCATAGTTCAATTTGATCCTGGGGCGCGACCGCCTAACTCATGGACGTTGCCGTAGTCGTAGCTATAACCTGCGCTTTACCGATATTCCTAATGAATCTTTTTATATTATTTTAAAATAATTGCTTTTTTTATTTATATATTTTAATCAAACATTTTGGTTTGTTTTCTTTTTCGAAATAGCATTATAATCAATTCGACATTTTGTAAATTTCGTTTAAATTTAATAATTCAGTTAACAAAAACAACAAAAATCATTGATTAAATATGTTAATAATAAAAAAGGATTAATTTTAAAACAATGTCAACAGATTGATGTGAAACACCAACAAAGCATAGGTTATAGTTCTGACTACGGCTACGTCCATAAGTTAGGCGGTCGCGCCCCTGATCATTTAACCAATCAGCCCTGCGATTCTGTAAAAATCCAGACCCGAATTCGAATTCACTCATGTGTCCGAATTCTCGTCATTTAGTAAAGAAATCTTATTGATTCCATTTTTTTTATAAAAATACTAAACAAAATTGATTGATTAAACGTGTCTTAGATATTTTAATCCTATATCATTTCGAAACTCACTTCACTTATGTCACGAAACATTATTACCAATTCAAGTTTGAGCGGATGCCGCTTTTTGAAGTGAATTCGGACACCTGAGTGGATTCGAATTCGGGTTTGAAGTTTTACTGAATCGCAGGGCAGAATTGGTCTCGTATTGAACAAACCCATTCTGATTGGTCAGTTGACGTTTGAAAGCCAACACATGAGACATGCCAGGTTCTTTGAACGATGAAAACTGAAGAACAGAATCAAACAATAGTAGTTTTAGAAAAGCTGTAAAAGTACAGCATATAGCAATATGCAATATATCTGCTTGCAAAACGTGTCGACGCGGCTTATTCCAAATATTTGACACTTATTAAAATGCTGCTATTTTATTTAGTAAAGGAAAATTTTTGTGTTTGAGGAAGTTATTTGTTTTCACTTCTTATCAATACGATAATCGTTAAAATATAAAAGCTCGACAATGTTGTACAGTTTGATATGTCAATCGTAAGATTATAGATTAGTTTTGAGAGTCTTAACACGAACCTTTGAACGTGATGTAAAAATAATTGTAGAGGCGAAAGTTGAAGAAAGTCACGTTTTAATTCATTTTCACTGTCAGGAGATGGCGCCTTTTATTTTCTGATTTTAATACGTAGTATTTATATGAATGTAAATGACAATATTCATTTGATATGTTTAACGCTTATATTGCAAAATTTTGTCTTGTATTTGTCTGTTGAGTTTATTTTATTTTCAAATTACTTTTTGTTTGACTTATTCGATCCATTTTTTCATTTAGAATAAAATAATGTATTCGAAAAACTAAAATAAAGTAAATCCATTAATACAATAATTTTGTCATAACCACAAAACATATTGTAAAATATTGATAATATTATAAAAATTGTGTAAATAATAACAGCGCCATCTATTGGCAGTCAAATTAAACAATTACGTTCCAGGACAAAGACATCGCGTTACGTATGTTTAACACGATCCTGCTTCCACCGCTAATAATTGCATTGTTCAAAAGCTCGTGTAAGACCCTAGAGGCGACGTATTAGGTTGGTCGAAGCAACCAAGTAATTTCAGAAATATTATTATTAATTGCGAGTATAATGATTATTATGTCACAAAGTCCAGATTATTATTGACACTCTTCCAGATCTGCTAGGCAACACGATTTCGTAAAAATATTTCTAATGAGAAAATTCGCATTCTTTCCAATCATGGTAAAGAATCTCTATAATTTGATGTTTTTATGAATACAAACACTAAACATGATATACGCGAGTTTTTAAATATCAGTACGTAGATGAAACTAAAAACAAGCATATAAATTTTCGTATAACATCACCTTTGTCTACTGTACTATAACGTATCAAAAAATCCAGTTAGTTCCTGTTAGAAAAGGATGATTTGCTGCGACCAACCTAATGTAAACGTAATGTGAAAACTGTAATCACAAATTATCAACTGCCTTAAGCTAATTTGCATTATTTCTTGAGAATCATATAATAGCAATATGTAATTAAATTAATGATTACAACATGTCATCTTCGACCATAAATGAAATATTACGTATATAAATTGTAATCGTCAATAATTAATCCGATTGCACTATTCTTAACTCTGTTGAATACAATACAAAAATATTAATAAAACTTTTACAAATATATACCACTTCATAATTTCTCCTTATAATTATTATCAATATTTTTATTTTTATTTTAGAATTTCTCTCATAAAATACTGTCCAAATACGATTTATCAAATATAAATAACCTTTTAGCATTAAAGAATCACATCTTACATTTTATTGCCGTACTTAGTAATTGACTTACATACTAACTTTAATGACAATCTAAAATCATTACAAAAATATTAATACATAGTATTGTATCTTAAGCTCTATGAATTCAGTCAATTACATTTATGAATTAGCTCATTTCCATATCTTTTTTTTTTGTTTTCTTCAATTTAATGACATTAAAAATAACCTTAAATATATTATTAATCCCATAATGAATTATACAATTGACAAATAATGTACACATTCAAAAATAAATAAACAATATTTAAAAAAACTAACCGCCAATTGACTTATATTGTGCTGAGATCATAATTATGCCCGAAGGTGGATTTGAAGTATAAGGGTTGGCGCAAATCTGGCGTGAAAGCCGTCAAGCATTTCGCGGAAGATTTCCTCAGTAGGCCATGGATCATCCGTCGAGTGTACAAGATTAGATTGTAATCAGAAGAAACCGAGTATAAATTGCGAATAAGGATAGCTATTTGGCTCACTACGAAATCATTAAAAATATAAAGTATTTATAAAAGTTTTATATTTGAAAATCAGGAATAAAGTTTCAGAACTCAGAAATCCTCGCTCGCACGTATTTAATTTAATTTAAAAAACAAAACAGATGTAGCAACAAAAGGATTGACGCATATTTCCACATATGACGCATTTTTGAAGCTTACGCAATTAATTCCAAACAAACCTATTTTTATATACCGCATATCCACCAGCTGCATATATCTGTGTAACTATGGCTTTATCATATTTATTACAAAGTAAACTACAGTACAAAAGATATATAACACAATGTCAAGAACTTGACGTAGTACAAGAATGCTTGCTAAAGGCGCCATTTTGTCGTGTTAAAATTGGTGGCCATTTTAAAAATTCTCCGATTGTGACATGAATAAGTCGTTAGAAAATTGTTATAATTTTATTACTCCTGACTTTTAAGCAACTAATTAGTATATTATGTATCAGATCAGTAGAAATAAGCTTGAACATTGTGAAATTGTGGTGAACATTTATTGGCTCACACCGACCGCAACGTACGTACAAATATCCTATAGCTTTATATGAATTTTTATTGGATCTACTGTTGATGCTGACCGTACTAGGCCGCACAGACCGCCACGCCAACATATACAGCGTGTTTGGTAATACCTGTATAATCCCGAAACATGGCCATACAACCTAGCACAAAGAACACAATTGATATGTCAAAATACAATTTCACGTAAATTGATATTTTCATACAAATATTTGAACAATTTGTTTTCAATTACTATGCTACAACCCTGTACGCATATACGTGCCGTCCCGGCGTACTCGCTCTTTCTTTCTCTCTCTCTCTCTCTCTCACTCACTCGTTTCCTAGAATACATTTTGATGTCGCCGACGCGCGCACTCGACTACGTATGAGTTTACTTGTAATTAAAACAATTTAAGATTAAACAGGTACATACTTACAGCGTTCTAATCACTCTTTCAGCTTTCACTTGTCAACATTACCTACACTTCACATCCACTTTATCAGTCCAGGGTTTCGATATGCCGGCCACCGCATAAAACACACATCTCCATTCGACTCGACACTGACCGTGTCGTGTTACTCTCGACGTAAAATCATATCCTCTGACTCGATGGAATAGGTGTTCGGCCGGCCTACCTGTGGCACACTATGGAATGAACCAGTTGTATGTAACCGATTCACAAGTGCCGCGAATCACCGGTAAGAAGGAAGACGTCGATGGTTTTCAGATCTTCCTGACACGTGGCGCTCGTCATAACGCCGCCGAGCCGCAGCAAGATTACCGTCACAAGCACCGCCACACATTATCATCTCGTAATATTAGGCATTTGAGTACGAATTCATTGCACTGACCGTACACAAACATAACACACAGGTAAACAGAACGAGAATGAAAAACAAACCAAAAGTCCCGAAAGAAAGGAAACGTAAGTTGACCTTCTAAATTCTGAAAACTCACAAGTACGCCGATGAAAGTCACGGACACGACTGACGCGATGACGAAAACTACATAGGTTATTATTATTGCAACTCGAACACCAATGTACCTTAATCAAAAGTGCACCGATTTAGGGTCCCGCGTCATCAAATTCTGTGTTACGTAACCTACCTAACAAAAAATCGTTATTTTTTTATTGAATTAAACAATGAAATTTCAAAGTAACTTATCATACCATTTTTTACTGACGAAATTGATAATTAGGCTGTTTACTTATTATTACAATTTTATTTACGCTTTTCACGGTTACAAAAGACAAAAAAGGCCATAATATTAAAAGTGGTTACCCAATTTAAGACCAAGTCATTAAAATTATAAGGCATAAAAATTATTGATTAAATTAGAAAAGAAAAGAAATATTATTTATTATTAGACCTTTCCATTACAACTAACCTTTGTTTAATTATCATTTAAACTAAGAATAAGCGAGATACTTAGATTATTAATATCATTGTGTAAGTCCGTATTTTATTGTTTGGTAAAAATAACACGGCTTTATGAAAAAAATAACAAAACTTCAAAGCAAATAATCTACAGAACCTTACTGACACAGCAGAAACCCGAGTTTCTCAATACACATCGTCGTCGATTTTATGTCTCTGTCGCTCCTTCTTGCATAGACTAATGTGAGCAATGGTGCAGATATTGAACTTCAATCAAAGTATTTGCAATTTCTTTTTTATTTTGACTGTATTATTAGAGAAGTTTCCTTAATAATAGTTTTTGAAACACCGTTAATCACAAGATTAGTGTTTTTTTATGGTTAAAAGTCATTTACTACTAACTTTTTCTTTGTTTGGAAATAATAAATTACTCTCGGATGCATATTTATTCTAGGCATTTATCTTTAGGTTTATTTAACTTCTGTTATTTTTTAAATTAGTTCGGCACATGGAGTCGATGACCAAATACAACACAACAGCTGTTTTTAGGGTTGTCAGCGTACAGTTTTACTTCGAAGAAAAAAAGCTGAATATCTAGGTCATGTGCTGGGTTTCAGACTTAGTTATCATTTTTCTGGGTTCTATTCATCATACCGTATGTGCCATATTCGGGATTATACAGGTATTACCAAACACGCTGTATGAACAAAAAAATATTTACATGCCGTTAACATCACACTGATTAGTTCACAGCTTGGATTCTAATTGCTGCGTACTCACATACACATTGCATATTTTTACCCCAAAAAGAGTCTATTAATGCGCGGACTACAAAAGTCACAATTCGCAAGCACGCATCGAGCTGGCGGGATGGAATTAAATAAAATGATAACTTTCGAACCTACTCGAAGTCAGGCCTCTGACACCTACGTTCTATGAGGCCGGATTCTATACCTATTATCATACTATACACTGTACGATGTCCAATCCCATAATAGCTTATATGAAAGATTTGTGGAGCTGTTTTTTTTAACTGTAAGAAGGTATTATATAATGATGATTTTGGCACCCCCCCCCCCCCCTCCCCTAGCACTGGCGCCCAGGGCAACTACCCCCACTTGCCCTTTCCTAGATCCGGTCCTGCTCGAAGTGACGAGCTTAATTCGAGTGTCTGAACATGTCCGAGAGTGAAGCGTAGATAAGAATACAAAAAATATTGAAAATGTAGCCACTGTCTTCTTTGTTAAACAAACATCGCTAGCTCGAACGTCGCGAATCGCTCGATAAAGCTGAATGTGTAATGGAAAGACTGTGCCGTGATTTAAGATGATTTTGCTCAATTGAATAAAATCGTATGTGAGCTCAGTCGCTTAGTGGATAGAGATATAAGACATTTGTATTCTTCGTTTCTGAGTAGTCGCATTATTCTATTACAGACCTATAAAACTATAGAAAATCCGTTGCCAGTAAAGCAAACGCGGACCAAATTCTAATTATGAATTAAGTAAGTAAAGTTTACTTAACGTTACAAATAAAAAATACTATAATTAATACGTTACAAATAAGTGCTAATGTAAAACAAGTGGAGTTGACTGACCTTGATTAGGGCAAAAACTATAACAAACTGGCCAAATAACTTGTTATAACGGGTAGTCCAACCACAATGCACGATATTAGTTGTGAGTCACAACTTGCCTTGACACAAGTTTTTTCCCGAATTAATTTGACATAACTTTGCTTTCAATGTTTGACAAATTTAATTATAGAGAGGTATACAATTAAGCAAACCGTTAAGATTGTTGAAGCCTTTTACGAAAATGAGCGTTCAAATCAAAATGCCCTTCGTAATATTTCGTCACGATCGGAAGAATTGCGCATAAATTTCAGCATGCCGGGTCCGTACAAAATGTGAAATACAAGATGTCGGGCAGTTCGTTCAGCGCAAAACATTTCTGTTGTTGTCAACCTCGACTCGTCGTCGTGCCCGAGAATTTAACATGATAACGGACTTCATGTGGGCAGAATTTTGCGAATTTCGCGCGAGAAACTCAATGACCGTGTTATCTCAGGTCGTGACTATGTTAATTGGCCACCACAATCATGTGATTTGACACCACTAAACTTCTTTTTTTTTGAGATACTTTATTAAAGTACACTTTATTAAAGTACACTTTCAGCCAAGAACAATTTGACAATTAAATGACGAAATAATTCAGCACATTAACGACATCGAACTTCAATTATGTCTCAGTCATTGAAAATATGAACCAACAGATAAAGGTATGCCACCGTAGCCGTGACGAGCATTTGGTCAAATTTTGTTTCACACCTAATTGCCATTCATTCATCTAGCAAAATAAAAAATATTAAGATAATTCCCTATTTTTTTTTTTTTGTTCTTAAAAGAACTATTAACATCGTGTTTTACAATTAACATCGTGCAATTTGGTTGGAGCACCTTTACTTACATGAACTTAAATAATAGATAATTTTTAATGGCGATATAAGTTGCTTATTTTTGGTGAGAGTAACATATCAGAGATGTTTTTGAAATATTTTGTGAAATAATATCTTTATTGTGCATTTAAAACAGTAATTATTTGCAGGCCCAATTGTAGGGTGAATTTTTGCTTACACACTTTAGTAGCCTCCGTTCCGGAAGCTCCGTAACATTAATATGAATACGGCGGTAACTACGGTAACTAACGCCCCTGGACCGGAATTCAGCAGTTCATTTGTGATACTGACATGATAGTGTCACTGAATAGTAACTATAAAATTTTTGACTTTCATATATTATTCTCTAAAACTCACAAGCATTGACCCTTCCAATTCAAATCAGTGTAGTGACGTTAGAATACCGTATTCATCGTGATACCGAACCTTTACATAACTCAACCCTAATTTATATGAAATATAATCAATTAAACATTTATATATAACCCAGACCTATTTAAGTCAAGAGTGAATAGATTCTTTCTGGGCAAGATCTCAATAGATCTCATTTATGTCCTCGGGCTAGATGGAGGTCAAGAGTGAACCCATTATGAAAAAAAAAATCGTGGTTGAAACCCACAGAATATCTATTCCGATGTTTTACATTAATGATATTTTTGTTAGTCCATCGGTAACTTCATCGTTAACCGACCATACACAATAGTATGTAATATTCTTATTAAAACACAAAAAGGCTACCCCCATTTTTGTTTGGCGTCAGTAGCGAATCCATCAGTGATATACCCCTACCCCAGCAGCTAGCAAAAGGGGAACTTTTCGAGTTACAATATTTGATCAGTAAACATTCATGAAATACATAATTTATTTTAAAAACTCATGAAGTGTACTCAAATTATTTTGTTGACCTTACCAATTTCACCAATAAAACTTATCAGCAATCATAAAACGCTGTCAGTATGGCAGTACCGATAGTACAATCTAGCTGAATTCTATTATTAAATTAAACTTAAGTATATCTTTTTGAAAACTTTCACAAGGTTTTTTAATTAAGAACTATCTTTTTTGTTGGCATCTACAGTCCCATCAGTGATACCCACCTGTCCAAGCAGCTGGGCGACGCTGGGCTCGTTTAGTGTGAGTACAGCGTGTGCTTCCACCATAACCACAAGGGAATTGCGTGCTTCCTCATGTGGTACACCATGAGCACGTGTAGCGTGAGAATACCACGCTCCGGTAGATGGCAGTACCGATACACACCATTTACAGGATAGTCTGAAAGTCATTCGTTATTCTTTTGAATTTTAATAATTTTATATTTAGGTTTCAGTGATGGAAAATAAAAAAATTGATTGATTGGAGGCATTCACTTTTCTGTACGCGTATGTAGCATGACACCGAATAGTAATGAAGTTTGTTTACAGCTATTAAAATAAAAATTTTAATAATAGTATTTTAGTAACAAATTAAAAATTATATTGTTATTTCTAAGTTAATTCCAATTTTTTTAATCAAAATAGTATTTTTTTTTCATTTTAAGTTTCCAGCCGGTTTATGTGATAAACCGGTTAAAAACTAAAAAAAAATCAGTTATACATTATCCTTCATTAAAAACCTCTAAATTTTATAATAGTAATGTAAACATTTAAACAAAACAAAGATTAATCGTAAACGGTTCCCAATTGACAAAGATATTACAGAAGCAACATAAACAAATATTCATACTATTTTTTAAATGGCAAAATGAGTCGTGCCGTTTAGGTGTACTACGACCTTTACCTTGTATTATTATAAATTGTACAAATATAATAAATATATAGTTTACCTGTTTGTCACATGCCTTGACTTCACATGTCTTCGCCTATAGCCCCAACTGTTGTATATACGAGGACAAAATGGACATGGGAAGGATGGGTTTGCATAGCAGGTGCTATTTTTATCTGAAAATTTAAAAGCAAATTGTATCCAATGCTGGCTTATCATATGGAAACTTGAATAGAATGGAAAAAGAAAATGAATGACACTGGTATTTTGGTACTCATATCATAACAGTTAATTTTTAGGAGCATTTTATAATGAAATGAAGGATATTTAATAAAATGGTATCATTTTATTGATATTTTAGACAAATATCCTGCTGGTCATGAGAAATTATATCAACCATTTTATCATAGTCGGCCCAGCAGTCTTAACCCTCAAACTATAATAGACAGACAAGAGTTAATTTTATATACAACCAACATAAATAAATAACTAAGTGCATTTGTGTCATACAATAATAAAAAGATATTTTTAAATACTTTTAAGTCAAATAAAGTTACAAAATTTTATATAAAAAATATTGAAAATCAATTAAAATATTAATACCTTTACAAATCTGAGCTTCGCTGGACACCGAGTTCAAATTCTCAGTGGTTATACTTAACGACTCAACAACAATTGTTCCACTTTGTAAAACCGTTTCTACTTCTTTATCTATCTCGACACTATCCTTGTCTTCCTCCACAGAATCAATGCCATTAGTTTTCTCATTTAATGCGTTTAGGCATGGCTGAGTACTGCTCACTTCATTAATCCACTTTTTAGGACAGCAATCAGAGATTAACATACTATGAGACTTTCCAGTGATATTTTCATTACTTATGGCATATTTCTTTTCTACAACATCATCCATTAAAGCAATATCTGTATCATTCGTATTTTCTCCAGAATAATCTGTTAATGGAGAGTCTATTGGTTCCACTTTGGGTACTACACTCTGAAAAAAAATCATGTGTCAGCATTAAATTGTACACACTGACAGGTTACACTGTCTCTCAGTCTTGTATCTGTCTTATGCTAAGGTAGCAATCCCTACTAGGCGACTCTAGGCTAAAGGAAACAATGCCAATAACGAAAAAATTTACTGCGGGTTAGTGCATTAGGGGAAAAAACACATGAGAACATATAAAATGCAAATACACAGTCCAAAATAAATAAATAAAACATATGATAGTAAAGTAATAAATTGGAAGTACAAGGAATAGTCCAGCTTGAGGAAATATTCTTTTATCAATTTATTGAATGAGTTCCATTTTGATTTATTGAATCAGTTGAGATTTGTTTATTAATAATTAATTTAAGCAATATTATAAATGTAATAAGCATTAGTATGATTTTTTGTAATAGTATATTAAACGCTACTATAAAAAAATAATAGGTACAGTAGAACCTAGATTATCCAAGTTATTGTGGACGGAGCCAACCACATATAATCAAAAACTCGGATATTACAGACTTCATTAAATTACTCTGAAATAAAATGAATTTTTAGACAACTTCAGTTTTACTATACTGCCAACTGTGACTTCTGAACTCCTAATTCAGAGGCCATTTTTTTAATTTATTCTCTCAAATGCCTCTCATTTTATTAAAGAAAAATAATGAATTTTTTGCCTTTTGGTGTCGACGTTGTGCAAAATTATTAGATTTGCGTTGTATACCACAAAAACTTTCAACTTATATGTCTAAACACAGTTCGCATGAGGTGATTGAAAGACAATTGAGTGAAGCAAGCCCACATTGGACCCCACCCTTCATGTGCTACCCAACACAATCAGATAAAGCAAGCTTGTATAATCGGGGTTATACTGTATTCATTACCATTTACTGTCTACATACATATTTTAAGCAGCATAAATTTTCTCACAATAATCTTTGATACTTACAGAGATCTTTGCAGTTTCAGATGGCATGCTAGAATTCACTACAATGTCACTTTTTGATGCAGCAGTAACAAACTTTTTGCACTTGTTATTATTATCTTCATTTTCACTTTTCTTACGCTTTTTGGTTTGATTTGTTGTTGAAGTTGTTTTCTAGTAATGAAAATTATATTACATGCTTTATGTTAATAGTATAGAAATTAATTAAATAAGAAATATTATTGTGTTACCTCATCATCTTTAACTGTATCATTGCCAGTTGATAAACCACATATCCTCAGAGTTTCAGCAGTTTTCAAAAGAACTGGTAAGAACTCTTCAGTCACATTAACTTCTCCATTATACATGAAAGTCAATAAAGTCCGTAAAGAGGCAGTGTTGATGTCATGTAGCACTATAATTGGATCCCTGTGGGGGTTTTGCTGCAAAAAATGCGTGGGTGTGTATTGAAACGTATACATTATTAGCGTTAATTTTTTTTAAATGTTAAGAAATAAGGATTCTTACCTGAAAAATATTCTTGAAAACTGAACTATTGGCAGAAAGAATCACTTTATGTGCTTTAAAACTCTGCCCTTCTGAGACTAAAGTAACGTCGGACAAGCCCTCATCTCTATACAATTCTTTAACGTTAGTTAAAATATTATTTTGGTACCCATTCCATTTCAGACTTATCTCTTGATTGGCCATAATAAAATGCTACATAAGCATGCATAAAACTTTTTTAAAGCAAAGTAAAACAAAAAATAAATAAACTAGACGATCGATGAAATCGCGAGTTTGATTTGACTTTATAAGTATGACAGCAATAATGACAGAAATAGTTTAAGTGCTTCCAGCATTAAAAAAATAATTGACGCTTTCATTCTATTTATAGTGGCAATACACTCATTTCGTTTAGAATTTTTGCGTTTGTCATGTGTCAAGTTAATACCGCTCCAAGAATTTTAAAAATTGTAATAAAGATATTCTTTATTGAAAATATCTGAACTTCAACGCAAGGTAGCAAAAATGATGCCACGATGAGTTGAGAATGAGGTAATTTGGATTTAGGCTATGGAAGACTTGATTGGCTTGATTTAAAAGTCATACAAGCGAAATTGGACCTTGATTAGTCCAAATAAAAAAAAATCCTTTTTTTCAAAGTGGGTAATAAGACTTCCAAAGGTTTGCAGTACCGACCATCGTTGAAGCCTATTGGGGATGCTTATTCTCAGAAGAGGGTAATAATGATTAGTTAAGGGCCGATTTTGAGAAAAGTACCAAATCATCACTGATTATTTTCAATAATTTTAGTTTTTTACTATTTACAAGGCTAGGCTTTTAATGTCCTAATTTCTATCAAACTGTTATCAAGTCATAATTAAAAAAACTAAAACTTTAAATTCTTAATTAAAAAACCGGGTGTATATTAATAAAGAGACAAAATTCGACTCGACGACTCTAGCAAAAGTTGATTTTTGAAGGAAACTAATGGACCAAAGATCAATGATATTAATATGTGATGATATTAGATACGCAATACATACCAAGAATCTGAAGCTACTAAAACTAAGACGTTTGTCTTAGTTTTTTCGTTTTTCACTTCATTACTCATTCAACTCCCGCCAAGAAAGTACAAAAAAATGCTCAGCACAAACAAAGAAAAACATTAGATAAAATACGATTATCTTTCACAAATACACATAATACGAAAGAATATTAAGTTTCACACTTAAGTCATTAACATTTTTGGCAATAAATACAAAATTAAAGCTAGGTTATAAAATAAAAATATTTAATTTTCACTATTTTGTCGTCAGTGTTGCCACTGCTATTCACTTTCAATTTTCCCAAATATGGGAGCTTTTTCTTTTTATTTTACGTGGCTATAATTTATCTAAATATCTTTTTATAATTAATTATATAGCTCCGCTTAAGTATAGGCAACTGCACTAATTGTGTTGATAATTTTTTTATACACGCACACAGATGCTAATGTGGTTTAATTTTTTCAATGCGTGGAATTCGTAAGTTTTCAAGAAACAACTTTTGAAAATACGTAAAATTGAACCTTTGTTTGATGTTTTATGAACTTTGACAAATGTTTTTGTCTTCACCACTGACTTTATCGAAAAACAAAGGAATGTATATGCACAGAACCTACTTTTGTGATTGTTTTTTTTTTTCAAAGTTTTTCAAATAAATTTTCAAAGTTACAGTATTTTACTAATTGATTTTATACATATATCTACACTACTCGTTCATTCATCACAATGGGTGAAATTTTCGACAACTGGCAATACAATATCAATTACCCATTTTTCCGTTCTTCTATCGTTCGCACATATTCTGTCTTTGTTTAATTTTAAGTTTAATGGTAGATATGAGGGAGACAAATATAATAAATCTATATATAATATATAGTATAAATATTATTTGCAAAGCTACGTCCTGATTTCGGAAAAGTGCTATGCTTTTTGGCGCGTCTGTTGTATGGGATTACTTCTCTAGTTATTAAACTCATTGCCAAAGATAGTCATTTCCGTTCCTTTTAACTAACATATTAAAAAACTGTTATTTGCAAATCTTGGACATAAATACAAATTCGAAAAAGTAAAATAGAATATGAGTTGTTTACTGAGTTTTGAAATCTAATTAACTTTTATACATGATAGAAAACCGGAAGGTTTGTCATGGAAAAAAATCAAGAAAGTACTGTATCGACATTTAGTTTCATTTCATGAACTAATGCTTTTTTTAAGTACTTCATCATTAATCAGAGACATACAAAAATAATCGGAATAATCTAGGTGTTACCATAAGGGTCTGGGGAGGATTATCCGGGAAACCTCCCGACCGCAGAGAAGGTGGGACCACTAGCGAGGTCCTTCACGGTCTGGATATACCTGGGCCTTATTTTCAAATACCAGGTACCAGACTACGGTGGTACAGAGGGTATTTTTGATGTTACCATAACGAAAACATAGAGAAAGGTTTCACCAGGATATGAAAGATAATGGAGAAAAGTTATCAATGGGATAGTATCACGATGGCAGCCTTCTGCTAGATTTTACCAATAGTATGAGACTTTTCCGAAGAAAACTGTGATAGAAAACCCAAAAGCCAAAATTTCTATTCTTACACGAGAGCGCAACAGCGAAATTATTTGTCAACGCTTATTTAAGTTTTTTCAATTAAACATTTATGAGGATTTTTGTAAAAAAAAAAAAAACTAGTAATTGTACTAATATGAATTATTTATTACATAAATTTTAAACTGATTATTTAATTATAGCAGTACCTAATTCACTCTTGCTGCATTTATTTTTACAGTAATATTTTCCATAAAATGAGATGAAAATAATAGCATTCTAAACTTTTATTTTAAAAAATTTCAAAACGTTTACTAAAATATAGTGGTGAAACGTTATTGCTCATAAAGAGATAGATATCTCGATGGGTAGTGAAGTAATTAAATAGTTAAATATTCCAAGATAAATAGGATTTAATTCTGAAGGCGCTCGACGACCAATCTATTACTACCTACTCAGTGGTCACATTACTCAAGTCTGTCAGCAGAGGAGAAACAAAGAGATCATTTCCTCACAGGTGGTAGCAATACAAAAAGCATTTTCTTTGGGTAAAAATATTCACTTATATGGGTTGGAGCGGTTCATTATTACTAAGGGAACCTTCAAAATATTCATATCTAACCAACTGAAGCTTCGCTAAGCCGCAGCTATTATAAACAATATATTTTAAAACCCACACGGAATAAAATATCTTCGTTTCTAATCTATATTTCTGAAAATACATAAGTATTATACTCGTAGGACCAATTTTGAGATTATTTGATGCCCTAGTCTATTCTCTATCGTCATCAGCTTGACCTAATATGTAGATCAAATTTAATAAAATTACCATTAACATTTTTAATCAGACTGATTAAAGATTTAACAATATCTTTATGAACTGTCTGCCATTACAAGGCCATTAACAAGGTAAATGAGAAGTAATATGTTTTGAATATGATAAAGGTTTATTAATTAGGCATAGGTTTTATCATAAGTTCATTTAAAATTCCGATAAATAAATCAGTCAGGATTTAATCTTTGGGTTACGCTACACCAGATCCGTGTATAGTAAGCAGACAAATGCAGACAATAAAAGATAAAATGCAATCAATATTGACTGCTTATAATTATGATTTTAAATATCTCATATGATCATATTAACAAATTATCAGAACAAGCGACATTTAGATCGGCGAGGTCTTCGTCTTTAGTGATTATGCTAAAAAAAATTACATGCAATAATATACGTCGAAAACGAGCTCCAATATTTTTGATCACCAAATTACTTGGTCATCTCGATTGTCTCTAATGTTGACAGAATCTATGGCAATAATTATGATGCATTTATATAGTTCAATTATATTAAAAAAGGGTTTTTTATTTAACAAACAGTAGCATTAAGGATTAATACCAATCATATCAAACACTTCTTGAAAATGATAATAGTTTAATTATCATCAGATAACAATCAACCTCTTAAGAAACTTTGTTTTCAAATTCAGTCAACAGCCCATCCATCCTAGAAGTTGCTGGCTCCACAGATAAAATATGGACAATATGAAAAACGTAACACAAATTAATTTTGTCGTAATAATCTTAGGTGTTTTAATTGGTATCCAATTTTCAGAGGCAAATGTGTACACGGATGAGAGTATTCTTGAAGACGCAAGATTGGACACCGTAAGTACTATGTTTCTTTGTTATGATTTCTCGTCAACTTGAACAAGATGAGCCTGAACTTTCCTGTGTTTTCTTTTAGTTCTCAATTATTAAAAAGTATGGATATCCTAGTGAGATACACAGAGCCTTCGCAGACGATAAATACATATTGGAGATGCACAGAATACCACACAGCGTAAATAATATCCACCAGGGACCAAGACCGGTTGTATTCCTTATGCATGGTCTTCTATCGTCTTCCGCTGAATGGGTCATGATGGGCCCAAACAAAGGACTTGGTAAACACATCTAGAACATTATGTTTTTGTGTTTTTTCTATGAAATATTATTATTTGGATTCACATCAAAATCTTTATAACTGTGTGTGAACTGGTTTACAAAAACAGAAGTAATATTTTCATTTACTTATATACTCCATAACTTTATTGATTTCTTCTGTACAGCTTACATTCTATCCGAAGCCGGCTATGATGTTTGGATGGGCAACGCACGTGGCAACACCTACTCCCGAAACCACGTAATCCTAGGGCCCTCTTCTTCTGCATTCTGGAAGTTCAGCTGGCACGAGATCGGTTACTACGACCTCCCTGCCATGATCGACTACATTCTTAAAGAGACCGGTGTCCCAAAAATCCATTACATTGGATTCTCTCAGGGGACCACTGCTTTTTGGGTTATGACATCAACGAGACCGGAATACAACGACAAAATTATAGCTATGCAAGCGCTCGCACCCGTCGCCTTCTTATCAAACGTTAGAAGTCCTCTAGTAAAGGCCATTGCACCGTTCACCAACTCGTTGGAAGTAAGCTATCGTTGATTAAACAATATTATCAATAAATATCGATGTAATTAAAGGCCGAATTAATGTAAACAAAAATATAAGCTAGTCATTATCTGTAGATATATATTTTCAAGTGGTTAAGTAATATGCCTTTTGTTAACTATGTCAATTTGTCTAATTGAACCGATAATTGATTAATTTATTTATCAAGATTAAAAAGCGAATCTACTTGATCTGTATCAATATTTGAAAATATCTTGTTTTCATAGTACTACATACTATTTAAATCAAGCTATCAGAGTAATGGCAATTAACTATTTTCACAGACGATTTTTAAAATTCTGGGTAGAAACGAATTTCTTACGGATGGTAAAATAAATGATATGGCTGGACAGTCTTACTGCGTAGAAGAAGCCATCACTCAAGTACTATGTACGAATCTCCTATTCCTGTTGTGTGGGTACAACAGCGAACAATTAAATTCGGTAAATATATTTCTTATTAACTCCGTTCAATTGCTTGACAATCTATTTTATTTTAAAGGTATAAATGATAAATGCAATATTTGACTATAAACGTTGCTTTACCTAAATTCATTTCAACCTGGGAAAGCAGCTTGATTACTTACACGTACATATTTTTTTCAGACAATGGTACCAGTTATAGTAGGTCATACGCCTGCAGGAGCATCCACCCGACAAATCGTCCACTTTGGTCAAATATACAATTCAAACAAATTCAGGCACTTCGACCATGGATTAATTGGAAATAAAATGACTTACGGATCATTTAAACCACCGACGTACAATTTGAGTGCCATTAGTACACCAATATTTCTGCATTATTCTGACAACGACTGGTTGGCATCACCAAAAGACGTTGATACACTGTCCAAAGAAATAAACTCTGTCGTTGGCAAGTATAGAGTGCCGATGGCGAAATTCAATCACGTAGATTTTGTATTTGCTATCGACGCAAAAAAGCTTATTTATGATCGTATGATGAACATAATGGCCCAATTTAACACATGAAATAATACATTTAAGTTTATGCAGTACATATATTATTATTTCGACATGAAATATTAACTAATATTACATACATGTTACTAGGAAATAGTCTTTTATTTGCCTTCTGTAGTATAAAACTTCTGGGAGAATATTTAGTAATTTATAGACTCACAAAATTAGATACAGAACTAACAGTATCAGTGCAAAAAGTGGAACAGGATGGTGACGATTTACTTTTATTAAGCCTGCAAAATGTTGCATCGATATCATCTTTCATATTATTTCTTTTGTTGGATACAATTTTGATTTCTCTTTTCACCATTTCTCCAAAAGTATTACGAACTGAAAATCAATTTAAATTAAATCCGACCAATTGCTAATAGGATGTTTTTGTTTGATTATCAAAAAATCACTTTCAAAAGTATATATGTATGTGTTGTATGTTAAAATGTTCTAAAACATTATTAGTTATGTTTGTTGTTAAGTATATTTATTACCTTTGGTCAACAACTCTATTGGATTTTCGTTTTTAAAAGTAGAAGTCTCAATCGGTTCAGCTTTAAACAAGGGTTCATTTGTTTTATGCAATATTTGTAAAAACGACACGTGCTTGAAGCTCTGGAATAAAAAAAAAATAATTCTCTTAAATAATTATATAATTAAACATTTAAAGCATTATCTTTTTTTGTTCTTTAGTCACTTAATATTATATTGGTAAAACTTATGTTTTCCAATTTAAAAATATTTCTATACTTAATAGTTTACAACAAATTAATTTCTTAATAATAATTTAACAACTAACCTCATTTCTGCAATTTTGCATTGTAATAATCATCTCGGAATCTGTCTTATTAAAAATGTTTTCTTTTGTTTCATCTTTGACGCAACATTGGACTGATTTGGGAACTAATGCTGCTATATCACAATAGGGAATAGCATCTGCGAGGGCAAGCTTTTTACCTGAATTAAAATTGACCTTATAGAAATTTTGTAACTCAAATTTTAATAAATTATTCTCCTTTTTTAACTTTTCAAGTTCACTTTCTTGTGTTTTACACCTTTGTTGCAAACATGCGACGTTCAGTTTATACGATATAAGTTCATTATCGTTTTTATCCAAATAGCAGTCACAAGCTTTATCTGCCACTTTCATTCTGACTGATGTACATCTGTGAACCTTAGATCTATTATAGTATTTAGAAAAGCTGAAACTAGATCTTCCCATATCACTTGTAGTTTTGGACTTTTGAGACATATTTGACTGTGTGGGACTTCTCACTTTATTAATGGAAGGATTTTTAGATGTTGTTCTTGTTGAACGTGGAATATGTGTCATTGTCGGAATACGTGACGTTGTTTCGTTTCTAATTGGGATCTGTTTCGGGAAATTATTTTGATTTTTATTTACGTTTTTATTGAAAAATGATTTGGAAAGAATGGATGGAGTAATATCTTTAACAAACATAGCTTGTTGCACAATTTCCCTCTCCCACAGTTTAGCAACTGATTTCACACTTTTAGTACTTTCGCTTTGTATACTGTCGAATTCGTCACTTTGAGAAATATTAATACAAAATACTTTCTCTATGATAATTTTCCAAAACATTTTGATACTTTTCAATATATCTAAACATCTATCACATGGCCAATGGCTGGTTTCGAGTTCTTGCTGAAAAAAAAATTGTAAGTAGTTTTATTTTATACATGGAGGAGAAGGATAGATATTTTATAAATGTCAGTCTTACCTCGACAAAATACTTGTCGCAATTTGGGTCACACTTGAGACACTCATTAATTGCCTGACAGGAAATGCAGAGACTATCAATTAATGCTTTAGATCTGCAATCTGGATGACATCTTGGAGTAATCTACAAGATAATATTGTAATAATAAAACATATCAATTTTAAATTAACGTTATGGAACGGTTGGTTGTAACCATCATTATAATTACCCTGGCCCGGCTCTTGCAAGTCATGGCTCGCAAAAAACTAGTTAATGTGCAAATTGGTAAAACACAAATGGGCATATCTCTCTTTGCCCATTCCCTGAGGTGATCGGATCGTGTTTTTTCGTCATGACTCCATGCCCTCAGGTCTGTACAGGACTCATAAGTCTTTAGCTTACCCTCGTTACGTGAAAAAAGTCTCAAGTTAGTATTTGTATTGGGACCTAACAGACTCATTGAACCTTTGCAGTTATAAAAAGAAAACTCGACCGTTCATCCATTTGTATTTGATATTGAAGACATTAAATTTTGAGACTCAAAATAAAATTTATCTATGATGAAATAATGTTTAAATTTATCTTTGGACGGAATACTAAATATACTAGATAAATTATCTTTGATAATGACATTTATATTGACGCGAGAAAGCAAACACGTAGTAACCCGCAAAACCAAAATTGTTCATAAAAGCAGAAACTCTTTTTATTTTTATTAAAAAAAAGTCTTATTTCCGTTTTTCATTTAATCGACTTACCATTTTTAGTTATGATTTATTTGCTTAATTTATTTCAGCGGCATTATTCTGAAGTTATTTTAAAAAACTATTTTATGGGTTACAACATTTGAAAATATTTTGTTCTGTTTATAAATATGTGGTAAGTGTCATTATAAAATGTATGGTGCGATGCGAATCTCACTTTTTTTTCCAGAAAGCAAAATTTAGTAACATTCTTTTCTTATAACAATTATACCTTATAAACATCATATGAATAAATAACCAGTGAATTGTTTGTTATCAATATGTCTTAAGAATAACAATTTTTTTTATTATTTTTTATCAATTTTGCATTCACGATACTATTTGGGTGGATTGTCTCAACACTGATGAAAATACGCTCTGTAGTAGTAAAAAAGTAAGAAGTGTTTGAAAATTCGTCAGTCCTGTTAGCTGGATTTCCTAAGCATTTTTCATTATGAATATAAATTTTTGTAATTTGTAAAAGTGGATTGATTTAAATTCAAATTATACTGTGCTGTATGCAAGTACCTTAAAAATACTGTTTATTTTTTAAATGTTTATTTAATATATTTACTTTTAACGTTAAAACATTATTTTCTTGTTGTATTTAATAACTCTAATAAAGGTTATCATTGACAGCGATTAACTAATACTTATGGTTGCGCTGTTGACTAACAATGGCGATTTAACTGATAATATTATTGAAAAAGCAATCCCTGACTAGCAGTGGCAGTGTTATTCAAATTAAAATATCATTTTATACGAGCATATGAAATTTACGAGCAGCAAACATGTAGTAACCCTCAGTCGATTTGGAATTACTGACGATGTAAGTTACAGGTTCCACTATTGAATGAAAAAAAAGTTATTGTAGGTAATAAATAAGGTATTTTTTTAACCAGTTATAGCATTTCATGGTAAAAAAACGATAATATCTGCAAATTTTAAAAATCCTTTTTTCGTCAGTAATTATCGCTTAAATACTTGGAATAGTGTATTCGGCGCCGTTTTTTTCTGATCACAGAGATGTAATTAAAAACAAAATTACGATGTGTCGGTTACTACGTGTTTGATTTCGAACGTCGATATAGTGATGAACATTGTTCCTAGGATTGATTCACTATTTGGGACTAACATTATAACAGATTATAGGTATATAACATTGTAATAGATGTATGATAAATGAGGTATATACAGATCAAAACATTCAAAATCCTGCAATATATGATGGACGGACAGACTGCTAAGGTAAATGAATAGGCCTCTTTAAAAAAGCGTTCCACGCAGTTCCACGAGTTTTTGTGATATTCCATGAAACATATTTTAATAAAACCTACAAAACATAAAACAACGCATTTTTTTTCAAATTGACATTCTATTTCAAACCACCCTTCCTCCTGGATTTTTGACATTTCAAAATATTTGATACTTTCGTTATTTACAATTTGCCGTAAGTTAAATAAGTATATCGGAATAAAATATTTCAAATCAAATGGTTATGCGTAAAATGGATGGAGAGGAAACGTAGAAATTGGAAAATATCAACAGCAAGTTTAGAATAAAAAATTACTATAGTAAGTGAAGTAGACAGTAATCGGCGTAATGTCTTTCATAACAAAACGGGAGCGTGTTTTCAACGAATATGACTTGTTCGATTTACCACCGAGAAATGAAGGGAAACTCAAGGCTTACGCGTCGTGTACGGACGCGAGGGCCTGGTCACACTTCTGTTCAGACAAAACGGAACACTTGGTGGAGATCATTAAAAGGAACAACGATATCTGCCGGCCGAAGTATTTGCCCACCGATGTCATAGTGCAGACTCTGATGGCGGCCAAGAACGCGGAAATATCCAGGCTGAAACGGAAGATTCATGAATTTGAACAAATTTTGGCGACGTACGACCAGCTTGAGCTGACGTGCGAACAAAAATGCGAAATAGCTAATGCCGTAAGTAAAAATAAAAATCAGATATTGGAATATTTCACTATCCTCAGCCTAATAATGTCCCAATTCTAGGACTCAGGCCGTCCTTGTAGATGAAATTGAATCAAATCAATCAGGGAAAATGGGCTATGTCCTGTATGTAATGCAGGCTCAGTGTGGATTGGTGGGTGTGTATTAACGACTACAGATGCAGCTAGGACGAACGGCTTAACGTGCCTTCTAAAGCACGAAGAAGCTCGACATAATAAATTATTGGTTCACCCATCCGTTGAACGGCCATTTTGAAAGTTGCTTAACAACATATCGCAGACCGAGTAAGCTTACCACTGTACCATCACAATATTTGTGTAACTATTATTACTTTTTGATTCACAGCATGCAGCTATAAAAGCGGCAAACAAAGAGTTGGACGATTTGGTATGAACTATTTAAAATAACATTATAGGTATATTTGTGATATTGTAATACGTAATAAATTTATCCTTAACTTGGTCCATAACGGCTATAGGATTCATGCCTGTTCACCCTAAACCTTGGTAGAGTTATTTATAAACAAGGTTTATCGTATGAGGAAGCTTATGCTGAGAATGAACTAACTATTAGTTAAAATTCATATTATTAAACAACTTAGCAAATGATAACCTAGTATCGGCGCAGTTAGGGCCGATCCCGAGCATCGCCTTCCATGCGAGGGATATCGCTGAGTTTTAGTGGGTAAACTCCTGCTTCTTATCTAGCCCCTTCGGGGGTGGGGCTGCAGGAGTAAGTAGTCCCTCATTACCCGTCGACCCCGTACTGAGGGGAGCGGGTATGCGTAACGCATTTCTCAGCGTCAAAAAAAAAGGATAACGTGATCTTACGGGAGGAATAGTTACTCCTAGAAGTTATACAATATGAATTTGGACTAATTCTGAAATTACATTTTTAGCGCAAATTTACTCTTGACTATAGGAATCGCCCAAATCCGACGTGAAAACAGGTGTCATTATTAAAAGAGAAAGACAATAATCGAGTTCATACAAGCTGAAAAGCTCTAAGGTTTACCGCAATGCCAAAATTATTATATAGTATTCTCTATTTTTTATTTCAGTGTCTCGATTTGGATCTATCTGGTTTTACAGAGGTAAAAAGATTTTCTACTCGATTTTCATATTAATGGAATATGTATACTATTATATTATAATATTTTTATACATTTATTTTATGTTTCAGGGTATGGATTCAGACGCATTTGAGGTATGCATAGTAAAAACTTTGATTTTCATTTTTAAATATTGCCGAACTTTTTGTTGTTCAACTGCTCCTGCAAGAAAATGACTATCTATGATTTTCTTGCTCATATAATATATTACAGATGTAGATCCATTGTCAATGAAGTTATATGTTTGCTTACTATTCCCGTGTCGTCGTTGTTGTGTTTCTTGTGTCGTGATTGTTTTACTGGATAATTGATATATTTTCTATCATACTTGCTAGCCACACGTTAGAGCAATCGTCCATAGTACTTGAAACTCATCCAAAACTTTTACTTAACTGGTGGCGTAACTAGAAGTTGACGAAGCTATCCTTCGCTCAATCTCAACAATCGAAGATGTCTCATGAGACTTTTATTTTAAATTATTAACCACTTAAATGGCTACCGTCAGATAAGCGTATTACCATAAATAAAAAGAAAATATCACAATAATGAAATAATATTAAAATACATAGTATTGTCATTGGAATAGGCCTTTAGCTACATTTTAGTAACAGTTGCTGAAAAAAAAATGTCGGCGAGCCTTTTTCTTTCAGTATCTGACTTCGCCCACTAATCGGTACATTAGTCCTCTTCACCTGTGCTAAAGAACCAAATTGACTGTGCTTCCGAAGGCACGTAAAACCGTTGCCTGTGCCTCGGCAATATTTAACACCTAGCAATCCGCATTGGACACGCGTGGTGAGCCATTCTCCTTGATCGTTTTGATTCGATAACACTCTTGTTATCAACCCGATTCTTGAGCCTGTACTGCGAAAACAAAACCAAGACAATCAAAACATCTTTGTTGCGCTTTTTGGTTTTATTTGCTCAGAAAATCGTTATAAATATGTAAATTGAACGAGAATTTGTTCGATTAACTTTTTTTCATAGTACTTTTATTTCTTTATGCCTTTTACCAAGGATCTGAATTTGTAAAATTCCTAATAGTCTAAGAGGTCGTGCTAAAAATATGCAAGAGCTTTAGCTTGATATTTCAATATTTTGAAGTTCTAAGGGTATACATCGCTCAGTACCCAGTGCGAAGGTCAGGTGCTGGAACATCTGGTGGCAGCGGAGTAATGTAAAGTATGAAAAATCGTATCACATATTAAAGGTTCTATTTAAAAAACTTAATACAAATAACCTTTCTCAGATTTTACAATCATAAAACATGTCAACTGAGCAGATCTCAGAAGGAGCTCCAAAAAAGTACTTCCTAATGGTCGACAGTTCATTTATTACTACTAAATTATTAATAGTTAAACTAACTAACAAACATAACGAACAAACATATTCAACAATCGCTGAGAGTTTGGCTCGCGGCGCCGCTACCAGATTCCCGTACTTAATCTCAGCACTGGATACTGGATATATACCCTAAGAACTTCAACATACCGAAATATCAAGATCTTAAACATTTTTGTCTCGAGCTCTCTGTCTATAATCAATCAGAGACAGATCTCTGCTGATTAGTTACTATTAAAATAATAAACTAAACATAGACGTTTCTTATTGCATTGTCGTCATGCAATAGGAAACCGAGCCTTGAATACAATAATAATAATCAGTTAAAGTTTGTTTTGTATCGGACTCCCGTCGGACAATGTATTTTTCTAAAATCGTGTTGTTCACACAAAATAAATGAAGTGTAAAATAAAATAAGTTTTTCTTTAAAAGCCATTCCTGACGGGGGCTGTAACAGTTCGAAGACTTATATTCACATGAATGAACAAACTAATGATGATTTTTTTTTTCAGACTGGGAAATCGAGAGGAGATGAGGTGAGATTTATTTTACATTAATATTTTAATTTCACTAAATAATTAAAAAAAAAGAATTTATTTTAATTATTTTTTTCATTTTCAGCCGTCTCGCTACAGAGGTGATGAGGTTAATATTTATGTTTTTTGAGATATTTAATATTTTTTTAATTTCTTCCTAATTCTCCTCAGTAGGTACAAAACCCGCCGTAAATTACAAATCAATGGTCTTTTTTTCTTTTTAATAAGTTCTTGGAACAACCTATACTAAATATTTTTTTTAGATTTTTTGATTTTATTTATGTGTTTGAAGCTATTTCTAATTATATATTTTTTCTATGCAGACTGTAACGTCAAGAGGCAGTGAGGTATATGGTTTTTTAACTAATATTATACACATTAAGGATTCGATTTATAATTAGTAATCATTGTTATCTTTTCAGAGCGTGAAATCCCGTGGAGATGAAGTAAGAATGCATGTTTGTTTTAAAAGTTTTAAAATTTAATTAACATTTTTTTTTAATGTATTCTTTCTATTTAGTGGAATTTCGAAACGGAACCTCCCAAAACCGAGACGAAGGCTAATCAAACCGGATTGGTTTGTCCCTGCGACGTGTCTACATGTAAGATATTATTTGAATAATATATACACAATAAATAAAAACAAATTAGATTAGTATATTGGGATCAGTGTCGTCATCTTACACAAATCGAGATATATTTTAGTGACGTAAGTAAAGTAAAATATTCGCTGGGTGCAAAGTACTAGGTGGGGTTAACGCAATCTATCGCAGCGCTCATGGTGGCTTTGAAAAAACATTGAGAACTTTGTCATCTGTCATACTATACTATGTACACGGAATTAAAGGGAAAACTGTTTATTAATTATGATTTATAAAATCGTAATTAAAAAACTGTTTATTAACTGTTTATAATAGCTCGGTGGCGTAGTGGATAAGTGCCGCGGCGCCGATCATAGTCGTTAAGCAACTTGCAAGGGTACCGACCGACACGGGATGGATGACCAAAAAATTACTATCAACAGCTACTCCGTGCTTCGGAAGGCACGTTAAGCCATTGGTCTCTGCTGCATTTGCAGTCGTTAATACCCTCCAATCCGCATTGGGGTAGCGTGGAGGGTCATGGCCGATCCTCCTTAACCATCCATAAAGAAGGCCTGAGCCCCTGCAGTGGGGACGTAAAAGGGCTGGTGATGATGATGATGAATTATGATTTATATAAAAAAAACTAAAATAAATGTTTTTTTTTTATTATTTTAAGTTAAATATAAATCGAAATTTGTATATGAATTGATAGAACAATAATAAACTGTGCTGAAATATATCTGTAAATTTAATTAATGATAATATTTTTTTTTAGCAAACCAACATCACATTGCATATATTTTAAAGTAAAATAACATTCTGATTGACTATTGTTTTTATTATCTTATTTGTATTTATATAATGACAAAAAATGTTTGTGTTTGCTTTTATCACTATGGTACTTTAGTCGTCTGTACTTTAGTCGTTCAACTGCAATCGAATTAATATTAAAATAAAAAGTCAGTCGTGAAAATGATTCCAAAGAAGTTTAATTCGTACTTTAAAGTACATTGGCATTGTTAGGTATCAAAGTATTTATTTTATATTGCGAGTTATACACACAAACCCGGTCCTTAGAATAATACTCATTTCGATCTAAAAAAAAACACATTTTATTTATTACTATTTAATGAAATCGTCGACACGCTTTCATTTCTTGTTTTACAGTTATTTTTCAATTACAAATGAGCTAAACAAATTCTGACATAACTGAAATAAATCACATTTTTTTAAATAAAATTTAATTACCTCATTTAATTTGAATGATTTAAAATAATTTTACAACCCTCTGTCCAACCAAATCACAGTATCGCAGTAGTTTTGTAATGTAAAATAATAGGTAGTTGTTGATTTTAATGTTTTGTCTAAAATAACAATTTCAAAGCGTCAAAGTTGAGGACGCTAGATGTCGCTGAAGTCGTGCACATAGCCAATATCGAATTTCACTTTAAAAGGGCCTCCCCGGGGTATCAGATAGTATAACTTAAGATATAATTAAAAAAGGTTAACCCAAGACTTCTACTTATACCTACTAGACAGTCTATTCAGAACTCAAGACGCGCGCGTATTTGCATGTTTACGTCTCTCTTACTAAGAAGAGGTAAATGAGACGGCAATACAATTGACTAAGAGATTTCTAGTGTTGACATGTCTAGTAGTCTTTGGCTTTAACATTCCAGCTGCTGTGGATCCAAGAATCCAGGAAATGCAGGACATTATTATCAGCAAAGATGCAAAATTAGGCGCGATGCGTAACACAATAGCGGTAAGTTAACAGTAGCCATATTTTTCTAATTTATATCATTAGAAAGTAACTCCGAAGCTAGGGTTAATTGTATATCTCTGTGACCGCAGCTGTACAGAATCATTGTAACTAAATTGAAGCAAATTGTCTACCACCGAGATTCAGAGTTTGATGTTTGGCCGGGACTGTAAATAATCGTCGTTTCTTTAGAATATATTACATTAGAGCTTCTCGGGTAACGACGGTAACCAAAATGTCTTGATAGAGTCACATGAAGAAAACACATTTGTCAGTAATGTAAATGTCAATCATCAAACATTTTCTCTACGATTTAAGATCTTACTCAAAGACTTGTTGTGTTACAGGTCATGGAAAATGATGTTTGTGAGCCTTACTGCATATATGCCCATATATACACAGCCTTAGAGAAAATATTTGGAGTTTTGTGTCAAAATGACAAATACAAACTGTATTTGAATCTTATGGTAAGATATCAAAGTATCAAAACAGAACAGACAACCATATACTTATTGATTAACAAAACTTATAATATGATTTTAGAAAAACTATTTTAAAATTTCAGACCGCAGGTAAAGACATTCGGTGTATTGATATAAAAGGAAAAATTTTATTCAAATTGAAGATTCTAGAAAAATTTAGCCAAGCTCTTATTGCACCTTGCTCACAACAAGACGTAAGCAGCTCATCCTTAGACTGTGCTTGTTTACGTGCTGAAGTGATAGCGCGTTTCGATTATCCACCATTAGCTACAGAAAGCAAACAACCAAGCTTAGATAATAAAAGGGCACAACTTGCTGCTGATATAATGGCTAATGATGAAATAAAAGAAATCTTAAGTAAGGAAAGTTTTTCAGAAAAGAATGATGACGAAATAATTGATGATGTTATTGATGATTACAGTATAGATTCAGAGAATTTAAAACGCTTAAAAAGCTTGCAAGAAAGTTATGATGAGTTGATGACTTGCTATGAAAGAATCAAATACGAGAAGGATTGTTTGCAAATCCGCTGTAGTAAATATGAAGAATTAGAAAAAGAATACGAAAATCTGAAAGGTCAATTAAGAGAATATCATTCTTTATGGAACGAGAAAGAACATTATCGGAAACGTTCGTTAGATATAGATTCGTTAAAAGAACAGTATTTAGTATTGGCTGATGAAACTTCAAATTTAGAAACACAGTTAAAAGCTGAATCAGAAATAAACTTAATAAAAACAAATACCATTGAAGATCTTCGAAATGAAAATATTACATTAGAGAAAAAATTAAATGATGCCCTTATTGCTTTCGAAAAAGAAAAAAATACATTTCAGTGTAAATTAAAGGAAACAGAATGTACGGTAATGTGTCAAGAACAACAAATAAAGAGTTTATCTAGTCAAATTGATAGACTTCTTGAACAAGGTCATGATAAGGTAATATTGATATTGAATTGACTAAATTAATCAAGGAAAAGACATAATCCTCTGTAATAATTGTGATTCTGTTTACATTATTTTTAGATTTTTTCTGCTGATGATCCAACCAATTCTTTAGTCCTCATTGAAGAAATAGAAACACTCAAAGAACAGATAAATAACCTCAAAGATACATTGTTTTATAGCGAAGAGGAAAAACAACAAGTTAAAAATGAACTTCGTTTAATTAACAACCATAGAATAGAACTGGAAGACTGGAAAAGTGACAAATTTTTATTTATCTTTTTTTTAATTTTTCTATCTTAACCTCACCGCTAACTTTTAACTTTTTGTTTTATTAGATACCTTTGAAAAAGAAATACAAAAATTAATAGAAGAAAATCAAGCATTACGTCAAGATGTGAAAGAAAAATCTAAGGCTATAGAGAATTTAAGAAATATAGTTGATAGGAGGGCACAAGAAATAGGTTTATTGGTAGACGAATTGGAAAAAAAAGACAGTGAAAAGAAAGTTGTGTCCAAACGATACCAGGATTTACGTAATATGTTCGAACATAGCATCACAGAAACAGAAAATGAGAAATTAAGAGCTTTACAGTCATTAAACTTAGTACGGCGTGAAAGCCAAGAATTACTTAATAAAATCAATGAACATAATTTGATTCCCAAAAACGGAGAAACGTCAGTGGAAATCAAATTGAAAGATTCTTACAAAATAGAAAACAAAGAAATACCGCACCAGCATCCGGATAATGATACTATTCTCCTTAATGAAATACAGCAACTTAGAGAAGTAAATACACTTGCTATTTGCAGTATTGACAATTTACAACAAGAAAGAAATAGATACAAAACTTCATTAGAACTTACAAAAAAGAAAAGTGATATTATGGAAAATCAATTGAAAGAATTTGAAAGTGTAAAAGAAGAAATGGAATCTTTAAAATTTGCACATGATAACGTTACAAAGATGAAAGATGAATTAGAAAATGATCTTGAAGAAAAGAAAGCTGAACTCGAGACAGCTCTAAAATCCATACAGCTTTGTAAAAAGGAAAGTGATGAATTAATCAAGAAATTGGACAACTTTAAAAGCCTAGAAGAAGAATTTGACAAATTAAATAATACTTACAAACAATTAATGACAGAAAAAGAGAGATTACATTATGATCTATTAGAAAAAAGCAAGGAGTCTGATAAACTAAACGTTGCTTACGAACGACTAATGACAGAAAAAGAAGGAATACATTATGCTTTATTAGAAAAAAGCAAAGAAAATGAAAATTTCTTACAAACTTTAAAAACACAAAGTGAGGACTTGAAAGAAGCTTCGGAAAAGCTAAAAAGCTTAGAAAATGAGCTCTGTAAGCTAAGGATAGATAATGAGATATTAAGAAAAGAAAACAATACTTTACAGAAAGAGCTGAATAATAAAGCCAAAGAAATAAATAATTTAAATAATACATTAGAAACAAATTTGAAAGAACATCTTTATTTAACACAAAAAGTACAAATATTAGAATACAATCAAAAAGCTGCGAATGAAAATATAATAGCATTACAAAATGAAAATGCTATATCTCAAACCACTTTGAACGGAATAAGGCAAGAAAGTATAATACTTATTGACAAACTTAAACACTTAGAAGCATTGGAAAATGAATATGAAACGCTAAGAATGCATAACGAGTCCATGCAAGATGAATTAAATCGTCTAAGTACGACTATAGAAACAATTAAAAAAGAAAACAATAATTTATACAAAGAAAATCAAGATTTGCAAACCGTTAATAAAGATATAGAACAAGCTTTGATTGACGCAAGAAACCAGGTACACATTTCTATATTAAAGTTTAAGTATGAGTACAAAACTATCTTCAATAAGCTAAATCTTCTAAATAATAAACAATGGGTTAATAAATTCAAAAAACTTTAGGGATAACAAACACCTAATAATTAACATCAAAAACATCTATCATATCTTGGGTGTATCTAAAGGTATCTTCATATCCTCCAAATAAACATTAAGAACACGAGGGTTGGATGGTGGATAAAATCCGTTTTCAAAATAGGCCAACGTTGTAAAAATCGTGAAAGTATTAGAAATTACTGAGTTATACGAAATAATTATTCAAGCTATTGCATTATAAAAACGAAAATACTGGTTCTATTTCGATAACATTTTTAAGGGACGCCGTCAAGAGTATTATACCCTTCAAACGAACCATGCAGAATCTGACAAAAATGGGAACATACAACTTATTTCAGTCACATCGTAGGCAGACTAACCGCCATAAATTTGAATATACTGTACCCATTGATTTAAAATACATGGTTCTGTCCAGTTGAGGAGTGTTTAAAATAATCTTTTTTTAGCTTTTAGAGAACCCGGAAAGCCCACGACTCAGCTCTAGAGACGTTTTGATGGAATTGGAAAATTTGAAGGAAGAAAAATGTCGTAGTCAAAATAAAATCAAAGATCTACTCATAAAGCTAGATGAATCGGTACGATATTGTCTAAAATTGATACTTGTCCTAAAGAGAGAATTAGCAATTCAGTGGTAATTTTTTTCAAGAATTCATTGGTGCAGGGGTTAGCGCGTTTGATTTACGATGCGGTAGTCAAGCAATTTTCGTAGTGGCCGGTCATTGGATGGGTGGCTAAAAACGTATTATCTCGAGCTACTCCGTCCTTTGATACGTTAAACCGTTAGTCTCGCCTGCATTTGCAGTCACGTTAATACACTCCAATCCGCATTGGTGCAGCATGGTGAGTCAGGGCCCATCCTCCCTATAATAAGGAAAACCTAAGCCCATGTAGTAGTGGGGCGTAAAAAAGGGATGACGATTATGAATAGTATAATAATTATATACATTTTCCAGTTTTTTTATGACACTCTTTCAGAGCGTCTAGACAAATGGTATGATCTAATTTAGACACGATTTCAAGATCTCCTTAGTAAAACTGTTTTTAACGTTCTTTGGCATTATCTTTAATTCTGATAGCGGATTCCTATAGTTTGAAGTTTTATATGGAATACTTTTAAAACAACAATTGTAGGTCTGTCGAATACGATGGACTTTTAATAAATTCAATCACCAACGGTTGATTATCATCAATAGATACGACCAAAAAGTGTTTTCACTCTCCATTTGAGTTCGTTTAAAATAAAGTACGCACTACATCTTCGTGAAATATCACTTATAACTACTGTAGTACAACGCAACGAAACGAATAAATATCAAAGTCCCAGACATTTGCCGCAACCGACCTAATTATATCTTGAGTTCGTTCGTGCTACAGAATGTTAAACCACTAGTATCAAATAATCCGCACTAGGCTCGCCTGTCCTCTATAGGTTATTCCATCCACAGAGAAAACCTGTACCTTAGCAGATGTGACATTAATATGCTAATGATACAACAACTTCTCAACGAATTTAAATTCTACTTTACTTTGTATTATGATATTAATATTGCAAATCAATTGCTGTTTTTAAGAAGAATCTCCATAAACACCTTTTGGATAAATCTTTGCTTTGTACAAGAACTAATATATAAGTAGAGTATGTAGTATACAATTAATGAATATTTGTATTATGTATTATAAGTATACTAGTGGACGCCCGCGACTTCGTCCGCGTGGAAGTCGGTATCCCGTGGGAGTGAGAAGTTTTCCCAGTAAAAAGTACCCTATGTGTTATTCTGATGTATAACCTATATTGCTGTAAAGTTTTATCCAAATCCGTCCAGTAGTTTTTTCGTGAAAGAGTAACAAACATCCATACATCCATACTTACAAACTTTCGCCTTTATAATATTAATAGGATTGTAGTAATATACTTACTGATACATATGTACTAGTATAATATTTTATATTCCTTTTAATAAAACGATATTGGCACACGACTACATCCTTTAGTCAGATGTTCTTAACACAAGGGTTGTCCAGAAAAGCGTAAGTCCAATCAAATAATACCGCCTTTGCCTTCCTTTGTATACTTCTTCATTTGTGTGTGAGCTATAAAGAGTTTATTCATATCTATCTACCTACAAAAAAATATATTAATCTTTACTTACAGGATAATGTTATTTCGGAATTACGTGAACAATTACTGGCACGTGACGACAATACTGCTATATTACAAAATCACATCAATGAACTTGAAGATGAAATCAGAAAACTACATGAGAATCTAGTAAAAGTCATTGAAGCTTCGGAGTGTATAAGCACTTACAGTAACGAAAAATATGATCAAACAATAAAGAATTTAGAGGCTCATCGTATGTACACAAATATAAATATATTTTTATATAATATACTTTACAAGCTGATTTCCCGCGACTTCACACGTGTAAATTATAGCATACGTCATCCCTGTATGATAGAATTTTTAGAATCGGTGGATGTACTCGTAGTTTCAGACCTCAAGGCAAACAAACAATCAAATCTTTCCTCTTTATAATAATAGTTTATAGACGAAAATAACAATATTTAAACGATTTTTAAATTTCACTTCACTAATTGGTGGCAAGATCAGTTAATTTTTACTCTAATAAATTTATATTACAGAAGCTTCTATTTTAAGACTTTACCTTGCCTATATTAAGTTTTTCAGCGTCATCACATTCCCTTATAAACAACCTACCGTGGAATCGCTGGCCCTGATAATACAGATTCTCTAGTTTCGGGGTCAGAGATCTAAGACTTAAAGCAATATGTATAAAACCTAAATTAAGTATTTGCCTTGTACTTAATAATAATATAAACACCTGTTTGTAAAATTAAGATTTTTATTTTAGTTAAATAAATGAATTATAAATGGAATGAATTATTCTATCTGATATGGCTTTTTTTACATTAACTGTTTTATTAATTTTTTTATTTTAAGATTCGAAAGCAGCACACAATATACAGATGGAATTAGCAAAACTACAAAACAAAAATTTTAAATTAGAGGAACAATTGTCGGCAACAAAACTAAAAACTGAAGAATCTAAACAGGATAAAAATAAATATTTATCGCAAGTTAAACGTCTTGAAGACGAAAGAGAAATAATTGTAACTGATATTAAACAATTGGAAATGAGCAGTGTAGGGGATAGTATTTTATCACCACAAAAATGCAGTGTGGAGGATGTTCTATCTTCATTGGATCGTATTCGTAAAAGTATACATGCAAAAAGTTCATCTTTAGAACAAACTATACATAAAGTGCAAACATCATCACAGATCGTTTTGACAAAAGCTGATGAAGCCAAAATAATTGTCGAGAAAGAAAAACAAAAAATCATAATGGAAAAAGAGGAAGCAATACGAGAAAAAATTAATATGGAAAATAAATTATCAGAACTTAGAAAAAAATTAGAAAACCAAATGTACCACGATCAAGAAGTAATCAAAGATTTAGAAGCGAATATTCAAAACCAACAATTAATAGCTAATAATTCAATTTCGAAATTGAAAACAGAATTGCAAAATCTTCAATTTAAATATGATAATTCGTTGTTAGAAATAATAGGATTACAGGAAAAATTGAGAAATTTATCAGATGAATGTAAAAAATATATAGGAGACAATGATACATTAAAGAAAGAGTTGATATGTAAAACGGATAACATGACAAAATTGCAAAATGAAATTAATGATTTGAAAAATAAAAATCTAAAAGATATTTCGGTTCAAGTAGATATACCTCTCCAAAGAAACGTGTCATCTCAAACTGAGACTCATCTAATCGAACATTATCTGTCCTTATCAGTGCTAGACTCAGGTAAAAAAAGTAACAAAAATGATATCAAGAATAATTTTGATGATATACCTTCAGCAAATATTTTGCAAACCAATAGACCAATGGAAAGTTCTAAAGTTTTAAATTTATTACCGAATCGAAAACCGCACTCTTTGAATGAAGTACAAATATTGACTGCCAATGTTGAACCCACTTTTGATTTTAAAAGAAGTAGTTATTTAAATTATAAAATGCAACAATTAAGCCCTGGTAAACTTGAACAATACTCCATCTTAGATGATCAATCAGATGAGGAAAATTCTAAAGAAAAGAACGACTTTCATTTAGTTAATATTAATAGTAATAACTCCAAAACTTCACATAAGATACGTAAAGTAAACGATCAGCAAAAAAAGTCTAGTTCGAATATTAGACTTGACTTAACAAATGATGGCGTAAAGTCCGAGAAAATAACTTATGGCCAACCTAAATTTCATAAGGAAAATACACCATCAAAACGACAGAATCATAGTGATTTACTAATTACCATGAATGAACCTGAGTTAAAAGATTTAAATAATATATTGCAAGAGATAAATATTCCTGGGTCATCAACAGATCACCAACAAAAAATAAATATAAATGTTTCAGGACAAAAAAGCTTGAAAGACAGTCATTCTAAAAATAACAAAAATTTCACACCCTTGGAAGATGACGAATACGATGATGATGATAGTGTTAAACCCAAATTAAAAATAAACGTACCAAGAGTGAATAATGAAAGTCCCTCTACCATGATGACATCATCTGATGGTGAAAAAATATCTGTAGGATCTGATATTTTAGATATCTACTCGTCGCCAAGGCAAAGCTCATTAACAAATACTAAGTTAGTCACTGAAACAGAAATGACTATAATTAAACATGAAAGTCCATCTTTACCGACATTATCAACTGAAGAAGATCAGTTAGGTTCATTTTATTCAATGGGAATTACATCAGAACAAGAAGACGATAACAATCAAGAAGATAAAATAAGAAACCAATTAAGGAACCAAATTTTCGGACTTACAAACCGTGACAAAAATTTAAGTGACGATGATCTTGAACTTATCCGCCGCAACAACAGAATTGCAAATAATCAAAATAATATATCGCACCACGACCTTCCTAGAGTTGAAGCAGAAGTTTATTTAATAAAGCCGAAAGATAACAATATTAATTCAGACGTCGGAAATACATTAAAACCACGAAGTTTTGCGCTAGATTATATCTTGAACACGGTTCGACAAGAGGTTGAATTTGGAAAAACAAAAATAGCGAAAGAATCACCAAAGAGCAAAAGTGACGAAAAACTGTACGCGAAATATGAACACACTGACGATTTGATATCTTTAAAACAAAGTCAGTCTAAAATTATACCTTTAAGCAGAGGTATGGCTAAAAAAAGTCAGAGTGGATACAAATTAACTGAAACCAAGTCAGTCGAAGACCGTAGTATAATGGCTAAAGTAGAAGATATTAAAGATTATGAAGATCGGATACGATTTTTGACCAACAGCTTAGAAATAACAGAGAATGACTATAAAAAAAGACTTGCAGCAATAAAATCACAATATGATAGTAACATTAAAAATATTATTAATGAACACAATCAAGGGGTAAAGAATATACAAGGTCTCCACGAAGAAACATTAAAAGATATAATTAAAATACATGAAACCGAAATTGAGAATTTAAGAACAATGAGCTTAGAAGCCAATCGGAGATCTGAAAAATTAGATAAAGAAAACCGTTTATTAAAAACAAAACTTAACGAAAATTCTACGACGATCTTTGATGAGGTAAGTTCTTTAAAAAAATCAATCTTTTAATACCTAAATACGAAAAGTTTTAGTAAATACATAAATTTTTAAAAATTTTTAGGAACCAGTTAAAATTCCTTCAGACTTGAAAAAAGGTAGGAAATCACGTTATGATTCGAAAACGCTAACTAAAACCAATATCGTTTCCTGTAACGTGAAGCCAAAGATAAAATCCTGTGGGCCATGCACATGTTCTGTAGATGTCAATATATCTGATACAATTAAAAATATCTTCGAGCAAGTTGATGTAAAGCAAAGGAAAATGGCAGAACACACTTACATGAAGTATATTGCCAATAAAATTCTTAGTGGCAACGTAGATGTAAGTATTATTAATTTATGAAGAACATTATATATTTACTGAATGGATGTTGATTATGATGATGAATGGATACCAAATATCAGGTTCGTATTATATCTTCAAATATTAAGCGTGCCAGATATGTGCCAGCATTCAGACATAGTTTGCTCTGCTTATTCACCCAGACAACAGTCATGCTTGAACGACACAGACAAACCGGGAAGAACTCGTGTCTGATGGCGTCTGCAGTTGTCTAAGTGTCGTGTAATCGTATTATATAAATATAAATACGCTAGTTATTTCCCCACGACTTCGCTTGCATAAATCCGTGTATACGAGGGTCAAACTGAAAGTTCTTAGAAAATCAAAAACTGATTACATTAGCCAGTTATTAGTTTTATTATATCTTTTCAAAATATTGTCCATTCACGTCAATACACCGCTGCATGCGATGGAACCACTGGGAAAAGCACTTTGCCCACTCGTCCTTAGGGGTCTCTTCAATGGCATCGCGATACGCAGCCACCGCTTCTTCAGCATTCATAAACCGCTTTCCTTTAAGTTTTTCTTTAATTTTTGGAAATAAATAAAAATCACAAGGCGCGAGGTCGGGGCTATACGGCGGGTGACCCAGTAATTCAACGTTTGATGTCGCCAAATAGTCGATCGTTCGCTTGGCGGTGTGCGACGAGGCGTTGTCGTGGTGAAGGAGGATCCTACTGCGAGGTCGTTTCTCTCGAACTTTTTCCAAGACAAGTGGCAAACAATTGGTAGTGTACCATTCTGCAGAAACTGTTTTTTGATCCTCTAACACAATTGTTGCAAAATGACCTATCCTTCCAAAGAACGAGGCCACCTTTTTTTTTTCCCGCACTTCGATCTCTCTTCACTTTAGTTGGCAACTCCTCGAAAGGAAACACCCACTGAGCAGATTGTCTTTTGGTTTTAGGATCATAACAGTAAATCCAGCTTTCGTCACCTGTTAGTATGTCGAACACAGCATTTGAGTCACCTCCGTTAAATCTTTCAATCATTTTACGACACCAATTCACACGATGGAGTTTTTGAGCCTCAGTCAAATTATGAGGTATCCACCGGGCGCAAAGCTTCCTGACCGCTAAATGTTCGTGGAGGATTTTGTGCACTTGACTCATACCGATGCCTAAGCTTGTCCGAATCTGTTGATAGGTCACTCTTTTGTCAGTCTCTATCATACGCCGCACAACACAGATGTTATCTTCAGTCGTCGCCGTAGAAGGCCGTCCCTCACGTAAATCATCAGTGAGATTAGTGCGACCACGTTTAAACTCATTAAACCAGTTGTAAACAGTCGCACGAGATGGGGCTTCATCGTGAAAGGCCAATCGTAGTCTATCATAACTTTCTTGTTGACTTAAATGACATCGAAAGTCATAAAAAATCATTGCACGAAAATTTTCTCGTGTTAAATTCATGATGACGTGACACAGACAATTTTCAATTTGCCGCCAAATCGTAAAACAAATGACAAATGAATGAAATATATACTCAGTAATATTGGCAAAGAGTTATATTTTCAAATTTTAGAATTATTTTTTTATTATATTGTTTATAAGTGGCCAGTTCTAAGAACTTTCAGTTTGACCCTCGTATTATAGCTACCCTTTGGTGATTTTGTTTAATCGCTCCAGGAGTTTCAAAGCCTATTCAATGCAAACAAACAATCAAATTTTTAAGGTGTAAATATAGAATAATAATATTATTTTCAGTGGTTATTCATAGGGAAAAGACCAATTTTCTGCAAACAATTTTGAACTTAGCTATATTAAGACTTAAAGTTGATTGAAGAAAGGAGGTTGGCTTATTGTACCATATTGCGTCACAGATACACTGTTACCAAAAAAGAATGTTCTAATTATATGTATTTACCACTGGTTTATAAGCCATATTCTTGACCGCATTAAAAAGTAATAAAAAATAATTATTAACAACTCCTCTATTTCCGTAAAAAAATGAATATCCGAAAAATAACGTTCCGTTTACAATTGACCTTGCTTTCATAAACCGACAACAATCAAGTCTTATTTTATCTCACTTAGAAAAAAACATTGACTATTTTATTAGAAACACAAAACAGCATAACGGACTCCAAAATATGGAACTTGCAAGTGTCAATCTTACGATGTTTATTCCCACACTTTGCTCATTGTTTATTCCCTATATAATATATACTTTACCCTTTGGACGTTAAAAATAAATAGAAAATATCAGTTGAGTATTATCACGTAATATCGTGCAAACTCAGTTCTTAAGTGAGGCCTTAAACGAATTTCTATATAAATATTAAATGGGGTAATAACCACAGTAATTAATTGTCAATAACATGTACGGGGGCTCTTTATGATTTTTTTTTAATTATCTCGAAAATGCGGTCAAATTATATTAAAATCTTGACGGTAGTGAAAAGTTAAATAAAAACTTGACTCGTAGAAAGTAAACGTGGGTTAACGCAGGTTGGTACGAATCATCATACAAAAAAAGGCATTTTCCGTTTGCATTTTTTAATACTTTCTGGGTACTGGGTACCCTAGGTAATGTCGACTCTAGATTTCAAATAGTATATAAAGTTTTTTAAAATAAGAATCGTAAAAATTACTTTTCACATACACACATATTCAAAAAATTCTCACTCTTAGTAATAAATAATTCGAAGAGCAAGAAATTAAGATTTAGCATTTGACGTATTCAAGTTGCTTTTATATTTTATAGAATGTAAACCAATTAAACATGGGTATATGTTTTTTAAAATGTTTTAATCTCCTGACAATAAGGTTTCTTGCCTAATCAAAAAACGTATCATACAGGCTTTGGATGCTCAGGAATTATCGTTTCTTCATTTAAAAGTATGTCATACATGGAAAATAAAATTGAGCAAGGAAGAAGCCCTTCAAAAGCGCATAAACAGTTTAGAAAGTGAATTGATAAATAGACAACGTCATGCGCAACAACATAGTAAGTGAAGAAAAAAATATTCTGCAATAGTTTGTTTGTTATTATGAGAACTCGAAACACAACATTACGTTCAGCCAGAGAACACAATGTTCGCAGTTGTACTTTGAAGTATTCTCTTAATGAACTAAAATTGTATATTAGAAATAAATTGGGTTGTTTTAACCTTACATTCTGATGACTCTACTTATTCCATAAAAATCTTTGTTTTTTTTTCAAAATTATCCTTCGTCTCGTACACAGCATCTTCCTCCTAACTAATTTATATCGATCTTATATCGACCTTTTTTAAAATACTCTGAGAAAATTTAATTAATTGAATATCTTTTCAAGAGTTCGTAACATGAATAATATGTGAACACTTTGGTCAGTTAACCTCTTTTGACATTATTATACTCTTTAAGGAACTTTAATCACATACCTTCAGAATACTTATTAGCTACTGGAGGTTAGTATATTATGTTACTGAAAACATGAGAAAACCATCATTTCGGTTACCGCCATCTTGTTGAGATACGTAGGCGACGCTTAGCGTGACTTCGTATATCTTAAGACTAGTTGCAGGAGCGTTAGATACCGTTGAGAAGTCTGCGAATCCCAATACAAATATATGTGAAATATACTCCTGGGTGACGTTTTGTCGAACTCACGTTGGATACAAGTCGTCTGGAAGTGTCTTAAAGTTTTAAAGGCTTTGCTTACAGTTTATTTTTATATTAAGTTGCAGAATTAGACCGAAAGGTGGAAGAGGAGAAACGCCGGTTGCAGGAGGTCAGAGAAGCGGTCTGTCGCAGTTCACCTGCAGACTCACGAACTGCGAGCCCGGATTCTACTGAGGGACATATGACACATGCTCCAATTTTTACTCCTGAGGAAAAGAATACTAAGTAAGCGTCGATTACTTAAAACGTCATGAGAAAACGAAGATATTTTTGTAATTATTTTTAATAAACTGCAATTTTATTGATGAAAACTCGGCAGCTATATTAATTGCACAGAGGATTTCCTCCCTGGTAAGTTCTTCGAGACCTTTCGCAGTTAAAGAATAATTGTGTCAATCACGATAACAACTAACCAATATTACTTTCCAGCCTGCCAGCTATCTACGCAAAAATATGTTTTCTCTAGCGATGTAAAAGAAGGAAGACAGACTTACCCATTTATAAAATTAGTTTGTAAATTAGTCTGAAATCATTTTGCGATCAAGTTAAACACCATTTCCTTTCCAGATCATGAATTGTTATCATAATTTTCAATTTCTTTATTTTTTTTTTATTTTATATATCCATTATACTTCCTTTATATTCCTTATTTAAGATATATTTCTTCCACATGTTGCACCCATTACCCCATATTATTTATTATCTGTTTTCCTCCATAGGTTGCCTGGAAGATATTGCTATGTAGCAATAAGGCCGCCTTTTTGTATACTGATTTTTTTTCTTTTCTTTTCTCAAACTGTGTAATTTGTAACTCGTGTGTACAATAAAGTATATTATTATATATATACTAAAGTTTGTTATCTGTAGGTGCGTTTGCAATACTGGATTTTGCGGAATCGACATCAACGAGCGACGTTCTGCCGGAGACTTAATGCATCCAATTGTAAGCGCTAGTGTACGTCCAAAACGTACTCGGACGGAAAGTAATCGGGTTAGTAACTACATATTACAATACTTATTTCTTGCACGCGCACTACTCATTAAATAATTTTTAATGCTTCTCACCTAGTTGCACAAACGTCCTTAGGTGTAATGAAGACTTTAAGCTCTAATGAGTGTTCTAAATTTGTAAATTAATATTAGTAATGTTGATTTAAACTAATGACAATTGTATGGGCGTTTGTGCAACTGGATATTTGTCATGAGTTTTTTTTTATTATTACTTATTGCTATCGGTACGTTTGTTTGAAATTATGCTTTTAATTATTCTAAGATGACCAATCCCGATCTAGTGAACATGGAACCCGGTAATAATTCGACACGTCTGTAAAATATAATCATTTTTCAAAAATAAACATGATAAAAATCATAGAAGTTGTATAAATAATGGTAGTTCTAATTTTGGTACTTTTCGATTTTCAACTTCAACTATCTAGCTATTAAAATTCATCAGATACAACCTGGTGACGGACAAACGTACGGACGGACAGTAGAGTCTCAATAATAGAGTCCTTTTTTACCCTTTGGGTATGGAACCCAAATAAGTACAGTCGACAGCACGTCAAGTTATACAAGACTGTCAAATTACCCCACTCGATTTTAAACCTTAGTACATTGAAGGTGGAGGCCAAAATTCATCATAGAAATTGACACATTGTGGTACAGCCGTGTGTACATAACACTAAAAATATTTCAGGCAGTCTTAGCGAAAATGGACGTCGAGGAAAAGAAAGAGCGTAGTCTCTATCATGACGACCCTCCAACGAGGTTACGACGCAGCCACGACAGGCAGTTGCCGCGTCATCAAAAAAAGTAACATCAATATATATCAAGAAATGGACACATTATAATAGTGTCTTATATACAAGGATTGTTCTAATAACTAAATGGATTGATTAAATCTTTACGCTAAACGGTGTTGGTGGTATGTGATATACTATTTTGTACAAAATTTGTGAACGCTTTTGTTTTGTTTTATTATTCTACAATATTTTTATTATTTGTGTATCAGTTTTTGCTTACACGTTGTATTTATGTATTTATTGGAAACTACAAATTTTTCGTTTTATCTAATAAAAGTCATAAGTGTGTGCTGTCATTTTATTTTACTTTATAAATCATAGATAATTAACAAAACCTCTTGTAACATAAGCTCGTCGTTAATTCGTTTTTTCTTATAATATCTATTATACAACTAGGTGGATCTTGGGCATTTTTTCTTGTCGGAGATAATCCTGAAACTAACTTTTGAGAGCAAATTCATCTGCGATGTATTAATTTTTCCAGTAGTCTGCCTTCAAAAAAGAAGGTGATTTTCAATTCCCACAATATTTTAAGAAACTAGTCTGGCCAACTGGAATATTGATTGCCTTTGTCCTGATTTATTTGACAGATGGATGTCCTGATTTAAAACAGTTTCGCATTTTATAATCCGGTATACAAGCAACCAAAAATCAATTATCTGTAGTATTTTACTGATATTCCATTTACTAACCACAAACCTCTCGAATGGAAAATCAATTCTTGAATGGAATTATTAAATCTATAGTTTCAAAAAACTTGCACCGTGTAAATCGCACTTTACTTATTGACGAACGGGATCGAATGTTGGGTTTGAGAAACTAATAGCAGCTGGTTGGTAAATAGGATTTTCTGCTACATCAAATCCGGCTTCTTGAGCTTTTTGCATGAAATTATTATACTCCCTCTCGTCCATTTTGTCCATAATAACCTTCCAAGCAATAACAGTCAAGAGTCCAATCAGTAAGACGGTGCATATCGCTGTGCCTACAGCAACTGAAAGATTTACAGTAATAAAACATATTACAATCATCTCTACAATAATAACAAAAATGTAAATTATTCACAAACTTAAATTAATATGAATACTCACAAACTTAAATTAACACTGCTATGTAATATAAGATATTTAGCTTTTAAGTTGTTTAAACTTGGAATTGTTATTATATACCTGTAGCGGCAAAATTTCTAGGACTCGATAAATAAAGGCAAAAGGTGGTATCAATCCCATAAATACTATTATTCTAATTTTCACACATCATCAGCTGCCTTTAATGTCCCCACTGTAATGAGTATGTGCCTTTAATGTCCCCATCATACTCGATTTAAGACTTAAGCCCCTGTTGGGGCACCATACTCGGTTTATTTAGATTTATTTAAATCGAGTATGATGGCATAACCACCCAAACCATATAGTAGGGGAGCCGAAGCGGGGATTTCGGGATTTACTAAAGCGCGGCAGATTAATATACAGGGGGATACCTTGTACCCAGTTAAGTACATGGACCAAGTATGAGCCCTATAAAAATGGCCGCCCGGCAAGGACGAAGGATCAGATTAATAAAAAAAAATTGATCATCTGAAAATCTCGAGCGCGGCAGATTAAGGTAAGGTGAGCTAGTTACATGCTAAAAGGTGTACATACCTCTAATCTGACAATTTGAGAGTGACGTTAAGAAGTGGGGAAGGCTACAAAGTTGTAAAAAAAAAAAAGTCACTGACATTCTTGAGCGTGGCTAATTTTTTTTTATTTTGAAGGGAATCATTCAAGGATTACGAAAAATATATAATCTGACGATTTTCACAAGCCGAAGTAATAAAAATTCATCGATAAGATTTGATGCGTGCAGCTACGTGATACCTATATTTCCTTCTCCGCATCACTATTTTTCTCTCAATCTTTTTCTATCTATTACTCTCTCACTCCGTCCCCACTCTGGTTTCGGTTGCCATGACGTCATGACAGCTGATGACACAGACTCGTTCGTGGCGTGATATTGTTTACATCGTATTTCCAACGTTTTTGCTTATTTTTTTATTTTAATGTATATTTTGTGAATTAAACTTTTTACATATTTACTAAGAGAAGAAGAGGAAGATGATTCTAGCGATGAAGATGATAATTAATAAAAAATACTGTAAAAATTAAATTTTCATATAATCATTTTCTTATAAATATAAGTATTCTACATAAAAAAACATACACTTTTTTATTTGCATGCTAACTCCGGTGCTTTTCTATTTAATTAAGCTCAATGATTTGAAAAAAATTAAAAAAAAAATTAATTGTCAGATTAAATAAATCCCTTCAGATTATGAGATATCACGTCTGGGGCATAAAGATGAACCATATATATCTTAATCTGACGCGCTTGAGTATTTCAAAATGGCGATTTTTTTTTGCATATTCTAATAATGGTCACGCGTTTGCGTTACATCCAAATCGTCAGATTATTATATGAGAGCTTTTTTTTAGGTTCACTTGACATCCCCTCAAAAAATCTGACGCGCTCGAATATTTTTTTTTTTTTCATTTTCAACCCTTACGTATAACCACCCCCATCATGGAATCGATCAGATTAACATACGACAATTTTTAAAAATGCGTAGGACATGGATGATATTAATATCCGACGCGCTCGAGTATGTCCATACAACAGTATTTTTTTACATTTTCAAAAATCTATAGCCGCTTCCCCCACCGATGAAAAGGTATATATTATATGACATTTTTTTTTGTTATCATCTAAGCTTCGCAACCCAATAGGTCTCTATGACGCTCGAGTAAATCCCAATTTAGCATCGTGGGCTCCCCTACTAATACCACCCATACCACCATGCGCACCCATATTGGGTGAGTGACTTGGTGAGTGTTAATGATTTCAGATGCAGCCGGGAAAGGCTCAACGTGCATTCCCAAGCATGGAAGAGCTGGAGATAATGAATTTTTGGTCACCCATCCCATCTATCGAAAGTTGCTTAATGCCCATATCAGTCGGTAATGAACAGATCACGCTAATCAGTGCGCCATCGAGCTCCTCATTCTAATTTTGGCTTAAGTTAATTCAAAGTACCAACTGACCTGAATATTGATCACCCCAAAATCGACCAGACAAAACTTTTATAATAATACGAGTATATAAGCTTTCCATCAACAGTTTCGCCTTTTTTTTAGATTATACTTATAAAACTTTTCTTGAATTACTGTATGTTGTTGAAAACCGCATTGAAATCCGTCGTGTAGTTTAAAAGGTCTCTGCGTATAGACATAGGGAAACGTCTGTGTTATACTTTGTAATAGGTACATAACTTCATCTATACATAGTATGTTTATATGGAGTTATCTCCTAATATTATGAAAAGAGTTTTCATTATCATCATCCAATCAAAAAAAGGATTGAAAACGAATTCGAAATTTTATTTCAATAAAAATTAAGCAACATAGATAAACATAAATAAAGTCTCTCCATGATCATGGCGCTAGCAAAAGCTCCGAAATGTCGGGATCTCGTAAAATGAATGACCATGAAAGTTTAAAACAAAATAACATAGAGAAAGTTACTCACTCCAAATTTTTGCTTTGCTCTCTTCTTCGAGTTCCTTTTGAATAATCACCTGTAACTTTTGATCATTTTTATCATAATAGTGCATGAATACTATAGAAGTCCCATTCGTTAATTTTTTATAACACCATTTTGCAGTGGGCCATGTTCTATTGTTAATTTCACTCTTGTCCAACATTTGGACCTCCGTGTTGAAGGTCTGGTTGAATTCCTGTTGTTGATCACAATAGGTCTTGTTGTTCCAGTAATTACAATCTACATAATCCTCAAGTTCCTTACATCTTTTATCGGCACACTCTTCACAGTCATCACAAAAGCTTCCTAGAAATAATGACTTTCCATTTGACTTGCGACATACACATTCACCACACACACAGTCACCGTTCCCTGAACATATCTGCAAAGCAAGTATATCATTTTTATAATGGCAATAAATAAAAGCGGAGTATTCCAGAGCTCCATTCTTCAAATATTATTTAACCGGTAGTCCCTTTAACCAACCAGGCAACTACTTGGTTAAATAAATATCTTCGAATGGAGCTATTATTATAATAGTTATTGAACTTCACTTGAGTAGTACTTTTGATATTCTATATTTTTTCCATTTCTTTTGGATATAATAACGAATTCTGAGATTTTCTGTCATATTTTGGGTAATTTAATCTTTATGATAGACATTTATTACCCAATCGTCTTTTTTTACTTTCTCATATAAATAAATTTATATTTTTTCTTTTTTAGCGTTTTTTTTATTTATATAGATAGATCAATATATTTGTAATGCTTACCTCTTTAGAGAACGGTGGGTAGCATTTAATGGTGTTCACAGTACAGCTGCAGTCGTCCCCTATCCATTCTGAAGAGCAGTGACACATTCCAAGAGTACATCTTCCATGACCTGAACAAAGTTTATCTTCTCGCCTCTCGCACGAATTATCATCAAACTCACAATAGTTACCAGAAAAGCCAGAATCGCAAATACATTTACCACACCTAAATGACGAAACCAAAATATATTAAATAAGTAAATGAACTAATATTTTCCGATATCAATTAATTAGAAATTTAACTAACATACTTACACGCATGTTCCCTTACCGCTACAAAAACTTGTATCGTTATTATGCTGTTTGCATTTGTCCAATTCCGTCTTACTTGTGATAGTCCCATTGCACTGACAAACATTACCATATCTAAAATAAATGCATAATAGTTTAGTTATATTAGTTTATTTACTTTAACACTATACTTCAAAAAAGCTATGCATCTTTAGGATTTTATCACCTACCGATCTTCATTGCATTCGCAGATACCACATCGGTGTGTACCAGAATTACTACATAATGGTGAATTTGTTATACCAGCATTTGTTTCGCATTCACACTGACAGTCGATTTCAAGGTTTATTTTCAATTTATCTTCAAGTCCTCCAGTGACTGGACCGAGTTCTAAATTTTGCATGAAATCTTTTTTATTCTCTGGACATTCCTTAACTTTTAACTGTGCATCTATTGTTAGTGCTTGTTTGTGCCTCATTTCACAACTGTCCATCTTCGAGCAATCTGGCTGCATTGTCAACTGTATATAAGGAGGCCACTGATACTTTATCATCATGTACCTAAGAGATTCCTAAAACGTAAACGTTAATGCTTTTATCAAAACTTTGCAGATAAATTGAGCTTCTAAACTCTACTAAAACTCACCTGATAGGCAGTTTTAATTATTTGCACAATGTTTGATTGTTTCTTCAATTCGGCATAGCTGGATCCCAAAATGTGTTTTGCCAACTTTTCGTATTCTTTTTTAACATTGCTGAGAGCAGCAAAAATTATTTTGAAATTTCCATTGGAAGCCATTTTGTAAAGTTGACTTACAGATGGGTAATCTTGCAGCAAACTGTGATTATAATAGTTGGATTCATTCAGATGACATTGCATATCATTTGGCTTTCCTGCACCCACCATTTTTCCATCTCCTGCACTATGGTATGGTGCATCTGTACATAAAATAATGATCCGTCGCGCTTCCGATCTCCAACCTAATTCTTTTTCACACGCCATCACTTGCATAAGTCCATCCAGACCAGCTTCTGGTAAATCATAGTTAGATCCTGAAGTACTTTTTTCGATAACCTTTTTGAACTCGTTTATATTTTTTGTCAATGATAAATGGTTTTGAAAAGAATAAACATATTGCATATTTGGACTAAAACAAAAGAAAGCTTAAGTTAAACACAAAATATCCTCTGTCAGGCTAAAAGAAATGCTAATACTAATGTTTTGATAACTTTAACTTGATGTTAAAGTCCTTAAACTCCCAAAGTTATATAATAAAATAACTCTTATATCCCTGATATATTATCTTTAAACACGGCTATTAATACGAGTATGTACCAAGGTCACTGATCACATATAGTTTGTACCTGTTGTCCAGCTAAAGGTTATCTGATAGAGATTGATTTAGCGTTGAAGTCTCCAACTGTTGCATTGTAATCCTCGTACATATTTATTATGTTTTAATTGATTGAATCTCTATGCTGTGACAGCGCTATAGACCGTTTCGAGTTTAAGGCTGATTTAGTTACAGAAATGCAAAAAAAAATGCGGTTCAAAACGTGTCCTAGCAACGTTTTTAATCACCACGCATGACTTATTTTTCAGAGATTAAAAAAATATATACCTCAGTCTAAATATTTTTTGTGTAAATTTTTTAAGTTTAATTTTCATTTATCAGTACAAATTTTATTGAAAATTTTTGGTCCCCATATTAATCTATAGATAAAGAATTTTTAGTGTTTTAGTACTTTTTGCTGACTGTATATTTACTAAGTACTTACTCTGCAAAAGGGAAATCCGGTTTCTCCACAAAACTTCCCACGCCAAACTGGACATTGTTAGTGAACCTACCAAGTTCCTTGTAAACAAATTCAGCTTGCTTTTGAAGTTCTCTTATATGCTTTCTCATAGTATAAGAAGAGTCCATGAGATAGTAAACGTCCAAGGGAAAATCGTCTGCTGGCTTATAAAACATTTTGAATTTATATAATGCACCCGGTCTCAATTTTATATTCAATTCTTGAGGTTGAAATTGGATCGGTCTTATTTTGTTCGTGCCGGGAGACAATGGATTGTTCTTCGATTTGCCGCTGGTTATCATGATGGGATTGTATATAAATTTTTCGTTGCACCAATGTTGGTTCTTCTTATGAAAAATTTCTGACTGACATCGATATTCTGTTATATTCGGCTGCAATACAAAAGGAATTTAAACTCTATTTATTTCTTTATTGGTACCAATATAAAGATGGCATAAAAGGCAGTCTTAATGCTTATAGCATTCTCTCCCAATCAATCTTTGGGAAAATAATCAAACATGATGGCGGTACAGAGCTATGAAATATACAATAAAATGCAACAACAATAATAATAATAATAATAATAATAATATACTTTATTGCACTCAATATGATACAATGTTTACAGGAGCTTATTATTTAAAAACATTGAGTAAACAAATGGCGGCCTTATTGCTTAACAGCAATTTCTTCCAGGCAACCTATGGTGAAACTGGATAACGAATATAGATACTGTGGGAGTGGGTGCAATATTGAGAAGTATAAATATATTAATAGCGTTAATATATTATGACAAATAAAAAAAAATATATATATATATATATATAAAAACAATAAAGAATGTAATAATATATACATATGAAATGGATGAAATACTTTTACAGAGAAAGGATAATATGAAAAATAGTTTTAAGATGTGAAAAGGAAATACTTTCTAACTTCATCGCTAAAGGATCCTAATGATTGAGCCCTCCTGACACCCTCAGGAAGAGAATTCCACAGACGCACAGCATGCACAGCAAAAGAATATGAATAGAAATCTGTAGAGTGACGAGGAATTTCAAGAGTAAGATTTGAAGAGGAACGCAACGTACATTGAGATGAAGAGGAGCGAAAAGAGAATGATTGTTTAAGATATGGTGGAGATGTTGGAAAGAAAAGTATAGAGTAAAGAAGCGTAAGAGTATGCAAGTCCCTGCGCCGGCGAATAGGGAGCCAATTTAACTTTGAACGGAAATACGACACATGGTCATATTTTCGAAGATTGAAAATAAATCTAATGCAGACATTCTGCAGACGCTCAAGTTTGTTAAGAAGTTCTTCTGATAGATCTGTATAGCACACATCAGCGTAGTACAAATACTAAACTAATCATAAACATACTACAATATACCTAAAATATAAATAAACTCATACATAATTACATATATACAGTGAATTTATACATACCCACATATATAAATATATATACATACACGTACATCAATCTATCGTTCGAATCTTATATTTTTACGCGCACTTTTCATTATATAAAACTAATTTTATTATAGATGGTTAAGGAGGGTGGGCCGTAACCTTCCACGTTAGCCCAATGCGGATTGGAGGGTATTAACGGCTTAAAGTGTCTTCCAAAGGACCGAGTAGCTCGAGATAAATTATTTTTTTGAAAGAGAATAGCTTAGTCTTATTGGATTTTATAGCATTGCTCCTATTGAATTGCTTGTTTTTAACATAACATGATTACAATTTAAACCTCTCTTTTTAATTAATAGTGGGCTATACCCCATTAGTTTCAAAGTGAAAATCAAGACCAATAATCTTAAGTCATATAAATATATTTAATATAAAAATTTAAAAACCTAATCCAACAAATCGCTTTATAAAGTATAAAAATAAGCTTTTCTAAACAAAATATCAATTGCAGGTTGTGTGGTTGTGTTGTGTGTTGTAGAATAGAAGTAGTGGATTGACATATAAGCTACTTATTATATATAAATAAAAAAGTTGGTATTAAATATAAATCATACCTCGGAACACCACACACATTTTTCTCCACTAAAACCAATACACGTGCCACATTTATCAAAATTATTGCACGTTTTTTCGGCAACAATTTCATTAATACAAAAATTAACTGTCACGAAACATATTAAGAATCTCATTATGTCTTAATTTAACTGAATTTTAAATAACACACACGCATATTACTTTTTGTATAATTTTGATTTGTTGTAATAGGAAAAAGGATAATTATTGAAGTTAATATAGCAAATAACTATTAAGGCCGATGCCTCTCTAGAGAGAAGTCAAATATTTTTTTCATACAGGATACCTATTAGAATTCCCAGTCCTCCGATCGGTACTGCGATTGGTACGAGCAGTGGGGTTTTTTTCCAAATCCTCCAATTAATAGGTTTGGTAAGAGGAGCGGGAATACTTTGTCACATACTGTACTTAACCAAAAGTTCCGTTATTTGAATTTAATTGAGTTTATTAATTTGTAAATAATTAAAATAATTTAGTTAAATAATAAAAATAATCTAAGCTCTTACCACTGAGATTTTTTAAGCTTTTTTCATTAAAAACTTTTTAGTATAGCATTGTAAATGCAAAATTGATTAAATATAATAATAATAATAATCTAAATTGTGTATTTTTGTTAAAATAATGTAGATACAATTTTATTAATCACTTAATAGTGGGTTATTATTAGGAGGTTAAAATATACGAGGTAGTCTACTCAAGTCTTAGGGGGAGAGTAAATAGAGTTGTAATAGGTTTAAGCGCCAGTGGGGTACACTCTACTTTTTATAAATCAACAATAAAGACTTTCCTGTAGATTAATTGGTCACATACTCGAAAATTAAAAATAAAATACTTTTTCCTCTAGACCGAAAAATACTATTCTAGCCCGCTTTGGCACGCTATAATTATCAAATTTTCGAGCAAAGGAAAGAAAAAGAAAGAAAAGACTCTCTAAGAGTATACGGTGTAGTAACACCAGCTAACAAATCCTACTAGTAGTGGATAAAAACGATAAAAAAATTGTCTAATTGAGTTAAACAAATATTAAATCAATTGAGAAAAAATTGACTCTTCCTCTTTTTTTTCAGAATTCATGAGTTAGTTAATTAGTTTCTATTCAATAATATATCATCTAAACTTATATAAGAGGTATATATATTTTTTACCCTAATATTATAAATTAAAGATTTGATGGTTGTTTGTTTCGAAACTACACCGATTTTAAAGATAATTTCACCTGCGGAAACCTTGCGCGGATGACATAGGCTATATTAAGTGCGGGTGAAGTCGCGGAACAGAAGAGAGAAGATAAAATGTACACAAACGGAGAGCTTGGCCTTAAATATGCAGTTACACATTTTCCTGTTAATTTATCCCGTTCAGGTTACTCATGGCTATATTTATTCACATACAGTTGTTTCAGTTACAAAATTGTCGGTGCCATGGGTGTGGTTTTATTGCTATTACTAGCCTTCTCGATATTTGGAAGGTTGTCATGTATTATGGATCCATGCGAGAGACATAAAAGTTGCAGTGACTGTATTACAGAACCTACAGTTTGTGTCTGGTGTGCATCGGTAATTCCACTGGATTTTATCACTTCTTTAGAAAATCTTGGTATTTTTTAATTAAATTTTAATTTTACCTTAATTATGTTTCGAAATATATAAGTATTCAAAAAAATATGGGAGAAAATAAAAGTTACTGCACGTTAATTCCGAGTAGGATACATTTTTATTGTTTTTTTTTCAATATATCAAAATGGTAATTGACACATAATGCATAAACATAAGATGCAAATTAACATCTCGTTTCAGACTATAAGTACAATGAAATCTATTTAAGACGATTTCACAGGGGCTCGACCAAAAACGAGTCTTAAGCGGGAAAGCGTATTATGCGGGATTGAAAACATAACATTTATCTGGCATCAATTTAAAAAATAAACCGAATTCGTCTGTGTTGTTAATATCCCACGGTTCGTAATTTTACAACAATTCGGGAAGTGTAGACATGTATCAAAAATCTTGCTGTGCCACTATTTGATTTACCGCTGATTTAACGTATTAAACGGGTTCTACTGTACTAATTGTTATAGAAACAATTATTATTAACTGTAATAATAATTGTTTTTATAACCTAAATATTTTACTTTATAATTTTCAGAACAACTTTAATGACACGAGGTGTAAATCAACAAAGCTTCTTACACCAACGTGGTGTCCGGAATCTCTACAGAACCCTGAGAACAAAGTGAATGTATCTGATAATTTGGATTTTAATTCAAATATTGGAAATATAATACAGGTCAAACCACAAAAGATCGCGATGAGTTTGCGCCCAGGCGTGCCTGCAGAGTTCGCCTTTTCTTTTAAAACAGCTGTCGACTATCCCGTAGATCTTTATTTTATATTAGATGCATCAAAATCCATGGTCGCAATAAGATCTACTATAGAGCGGCAAAGTGATATAATTTATAATACAATGCTAAATTTAACAAAGAATATACAACTTGGAATGGGTACTTTTATAGATAAAAATACGTTACCGTATACGGAGTAAGTAAATTTTATTTAAACACTATCCTTCGCCGCATTTCTAGCTCTCCATTTACCATTATACCAATACAACATTAAAATTATTATTTACGGATCGGAGATTTTCATAATTCAGCATTATCAGCGATTATAAGATCTGCTTTACCTAGCGATAGATCGAATTTTACCTTATGTTATATTCAGTTAGGACACACTGATAAGACTCCTTAGAGTCTTGATTTTGATGACATTAACAATGACATCTTAGCCGCTTCGAATTATTGATTTTGCCATTGTATAAACTACAGAAAGTCCTGCATTTTTAGTGTAGTATCTTTATAAATCAATAGTGACAGATATTCAAAATTTGTAGATACTATTTGTCAATGTTATTTCAGCGAAAGATAACAATATTATAAGTAAGTGTACCATTTCGGATGATCATAATCATCTAAATTAATCTTCTCTGTGATCAAAGGGACCGGACCGAATATTTACGAAAATAATGAAAGTACCTTTTTTTCTTTCCAGCGTACTAGACAGTAGCAATACATATTCTTTTAAACATCGTCTAAAACTTACTGATAACGTTGAGGAATTCAAAAAAATAGTGAGTAGTTTTAATTTGGGATACAACTACGATGAACCCGAAGGAGGTTTTGATGCACTCGCACAAGCTATCAGTTGTAAAGAACAAATAGGATGGAAAAACGAATCTCGAAAAATTATTGTGATCTTAAGTGATGCCAGTTTATATCATTCAGCTGGTGACGGTCTGATAGCAGGTATCTTTAAACCCTACGACGGAGGCTGCTATCTAAACGATGATGGTATCTACACAAAAGAATTGGAAATGGACTATCCATCCGTAAGCATTATTAACAAAATGGCTGCTGAAGAGGAGATCACCATTATATTCGTGGTAAAAAGTGAGTCGCAATACTATTACAGTCGTTTAAGTGAAGTCATCAGTGGATCTAAGTATATAAGCTATGACGGAGACAAGATCACGTCGCTTCTAGAAAAAATCTATGAAGTAAGTCATTTTCTTTATTCCTTGTAAATATAAAAAACTTCTGATATTAGCAAGGGGAAATTAATGGTCTTATTTGTCTAGGAAATCACAAGACCGGTAAAATTGAAGATTAATTTTAAATCTGGCCAACGAGAGAAATTTCACATTATTTTCAATCCGGATTGCGTTAATGCTGATACAGATTGCAAGGTTAAAAATGGCCAAGAAAAACGCTTCAAAGGCACAATCAAACTTTTGGATTATTTTGGTGTAAACAAAACGACGATAGATGTAGTGATTGAAGGCATTAAAGAGAAAATCATTCTAGAAGTGAACATAATTAAAGACTGTGAATGCGCCAGCAAAGGAATCGCAGAAGCAATTGAATGTAGTAAAGCTGGAACATTTCAATGTGGAATTTGTCAATGTTATCCAAAAAGGTAGCTTTTTAAATTTAAAGTATGTGTTTCTAAATTTGAAAACTTATTTTCACATTTGGTCAGTTTATTAAAGTTAAGAAATAGAATTTACTTATTTCAAAATATCCTAAACCTACTTTGAGTATTCTGTTCTTCCGTATAATCGAAAGATAATCGAGTCCTATTCTACTTATTATAAGTATAAGGCAAACTTCTATTTCTGTAAAGGTTTATTTATTTATTTACTATCTTGGATGACCAACAGTTAACAATACAAATCGTCATTTTTTTTCAAAAACAGACATCCAATTACAGGTCTTCGCTTATAGATTTGTTATGCCCTCGCGTTATAACGGAAACGCCGATGCAGCAGATACCTCGATTACCTGAAATAAATAATAAATTGCGACAGCGCCGTCACGAGGCGCTGACTCGACAACACGTGAGGCATCGGGTCGCAACCTGCGGCTAACGCAAGAATTTCTGTTCACTTTGATTCTTACATCGAACATTGTCAATAGTTTTTAATTATAATAAAATTAATTGTAATTTTTCTTATCTTTAATAAATTTCTTTGGGGAAAATCATTTTTTTTGCATCCTACGCTGCCGTCGTCCTTAATTGGCGCAGTCGGTAGGATATTCGCGGTCGGTTTCGGGCTACATAAGAAGATTTCCGTACGCACGAGCCGCCCGAGTGGCTATCAAGTCGCGTTCGAATATCCTGAACCTAAGGCGAATAGCGGCGCAGGAGTATCCAGAAATCGATACGGCAAAGGTACCTAGAAGAAGCATGAAATTGTAAGTACACTTGAATCTTTCATGTGTTGCTTTTCCTAGTATAATCCTTTTATTTTCCTAGTGTGTAAATTTCCTTCCAAAATTTTCCATCCCAGGCAATCGGGGGCCGTTTCCCCTAGATTAGATAGACAAAATAGGTTAGACGAGTTTAGAAATTTAGATATAAGTTCAGAGGAAACGTGCGAATCGGCGCAATTTATCTCATATAGTAATAAAATGGCAGACTCCATAGACGAAATTTTTAAATCATTAAGGCTACTCCCAGAATTCGACGGGAACCCTAATGTTTTAACACGGTTTATTCGCCTATGCGATCAACTAGTTCTAAGGCATGTAAAGATCGACCCTGGACACGATTTTGAGAACCAGGCCTTGCTAAACGGAATATTAAATAAAATCACGGGGCCCGCCGCCCGTCTTATTAATTCAAACGGGATCCCTAGTGACTGGCAAGGAATTAAAAATGCCCTAATAAATAACTTTGCCGATCAACGCGACGAAACGGCGCTATATAACGACTTAGCATTACAATCTCAGGGCAATCACACCCCACAAGAATTTTATGAACGCTGTCAGACTCTTTTCAGCACAATAATGACATATGTTACATTGCATGATTTTGTAGATAGTACAATTGAGGCCAAACGTCAACTGTATAAAAAATTAACATTACAGTCTTACTTACGCGGATTAAAAGAACCATTAGGTTCGCGTATTAGATGTATGCGTCCCCAATCTATAGAACAGGCGTTAGAATTCGTTCAAGAGGAAATTAATATTTTGTATATGCAACAACGAAACGATAATTTACCAGATAAGAAAGCAACCCCAAATATAATGCATCAACTTCCTGCTAAGTCTTATTATAACCCACCAGTTTATATGCCACCTAACAAACCTTTCAATTTTAACATGCCAGGTCCTTCCCGACCTCATCCTATTCAAATGATGCCACCCTCTCAACAATGGAGATCGAACCCCATTCAACCGCAAATGAACCGTGGACCAACTAGAACACAGCAGATGTTCAGAGCTTTACCACCGAACTATAACCCGCAAAGCAACATATTTAGAGTCCCTAATAGAAATTATGCATTCCCCTCCACTTCACAGGCACCGAAACCTATGAGCGGTGTAAGTAATTTTGTTACGAAACCTTTACCACCCAGTGGACATGATTGGCGAAAATTTGGCAATCCCCCACCTAGCAACTATTTTAAAACCAAAGAAATTAATTATAATCAGTGTAACGACTATGAATACGGGTCTTACTATGATAACGACTCGGATCACAGTTACGGTGAACCGGAGTGTTATTACGATAACAGTGAATATCCATATAATTATAATTATGATCCTTATTACTATCCAGAAATAAATAGTTTAGAGAACAGTGACGAACAATCAGAGGAAACTACCCCAACGTGTAACGTTGAGGTTTTTCAGAAAACATGCCGATCCGACAAACCAAAATAGAACTTAACTTACAGACACAAAGACAGTTACCATATATAAAAATATCTGATCCACCATTAAAACTACTTATAGATACCGGAGCTAACCAGTCTTTCATCAGCCCGGCGGCAGTTGAAAAATATTTTTCGTGTGTTCCATTAAAGTACGAACCATTTGAGGTTGTCAATGTTCACGCAGTGAGTAAGTGTGACTATTCTATAACATTGCCGTGTTTCCCGGAATTTCAGGACACAGACAGCGTCACATTTTACGTTTATAAATTTCACGATTATTTTGATGGACTCATCGGGTCCGATTTGTTAAATAAATGGGGATCGTCTATCGACTTTAAAAATAAGACTCTTATTACTCGTTACGCTAATAATCCTATTCACGTTTACGACTCGCGAAACGTAAATTTGTACGAAGATATTATTCCGGCCCATTCATCTAAATTAATAAGGTTACCAATAAATTCTTGTGACGGTGAAGTATTTATCCCAGAACAGATTTTATCTAATTGTATCATAGGTGAGTGTCTTACAAATGTTAGAAATAGTCGCGGAATTATCGAAGTTACCAATCCCACTCAACACGACATTATTTTTTCGGTAGATCGTCACCTTAACGCTGAACTATACAATATCGAGTACACATGTACCAAGCCACCTGCTACGACGTCGGATAGTGCTACGAATATCGAGCCTTCTCATTGGTGCTCATATAATATCGAGACATTACGTCATTCGCGCGCTACGGATTTGACTACGCGTGCTACAGAAGTGCTCTCGCGACTACGAACAAATCATTTAAATGCGGAAGAACGCGCGAACTTAGAAAATTTATGCGCTCATTACGCGGACGTATTTTATATTGAAGGAGAAAAATTAACATTTACTAATCAGATAAAACATTCTATTAAAACTACTGACGAGGTACCGGTCTACACTAAGTCTTATCGCTATCCATACGTGCATAGGCAGGAAGTTAGAGATCAGATTAGCAAAATGTTAGAACAGGGAATCATTAGACCATCTCAATCGGCTTGGAGTTCACCAATCTGGGTGGTTCCCAAGAAATCTGACGCATCCGGCAAAACTAAATGGCGCCTTGTCGTAGATTTTCGTAAATTAAATGATAAAACAATCGACGATAAATATCCGATCCCTAACATCACCGACATATTAGATAAATTGGGCAACTGCCAATATTTTACTACGTTAGATCTTGCTAGTGGATTCTATCAGGTCGAAATGGAACCTTCAGATATACCGAAAACTGCATTTAACGTCGAACACGGCCATTTTGAATTTTTAAGAATGCCTATGGGCTTAAAGAATTCTCCGAGTACTTTCCAACGGGTAATGGACAATGTCCTTAGAGGGCTCCAAAATGTTATTTGTCTAGTTTACCTTGATGACGTTATTATATTTAGTACGTCATTACAGGAGCACATTGTCAATTTAGAAAAGGTTTTTAAAAGACTACGCGATTCTAACTTTAAGATACAGATGGACAAGTCCGAGTTCCTCAAACTCGAGACTTCATATTTAGGTCATGTTATTAGCAAGGATGGCATTAAGCCCAATCCTGACAAAATTGAAGCTATAAAGAAATATCCATTACCAAAAACTCCAACCGAGATTAAGAGATTTTTAGGCTTATTGGGTTACTATCGTAAATTTATACCGGATTTCGCGAAGATAACTAAACCTCTAACGACGTGTTTGAAAAAAGGCTCTAAAATAACGCTAGATCAAAATTATATAAATTGTTTCGAAAAATGTAAATTATTGCTTACTAATGATCCCATCTTACAGTATCCGGACTTCTCTAAAGATTTTATCTTAACAACAGACGCCTCTAACTTAGCAATAGGCGCCGTGTTATCGCAAGGCCCTATCAATAGTGACAAACCTATTGCGTACGCATCTCGGACTTTGAATACCAGTGAAATAAATTACAGCACCATTGAAAAAGAATTGTTAGCCATTGTATGGGCAACAAAATACTTTCGTCCGTATCTTTTTGGCCGTAAATTTAAGATTATCACAGATCATAAGCCTTTGCAATGGGTTATGAATCTTAAAGAACCAAACTCACGTCTCACACGTTGGAGACTTAAATTAAGCGAATTTGATTTTACCGTCATATATAAGCAAGGAAAATGTAACACAAATGCCGATGCTCTGTCTCGTATAGAAATATATAACGAGGAAATAAGCTCAATGGTAGTCAACCCTACTGAGAAAGCCCCTTCATTACCTAACTCAGATACAGTAACAGTTCATACCGACGCGGAAAACCCCATACTCGAAGTGCCTATTACAGATGACCCATTGAATAAATTTCACAGACAGATTTGTTTTACAGTAGTCGGCGATATTAAAGGAAAAACGACGGTATCGAAACCTTTTGAGAGTCATACGCGTACAGCTATTCAGTTATCTAAATCTAATCTCGAACAAGATGTAGTCAGTGCAATCAAAGAATACGTAAATCCCAAAGTTAAAACCGGTATTATTATACATCCTCCGTTAGAAATGTATTCCATTATACCAATTATCCAAAATAACTTTAAATGTTCCGCTATGAGTTTAGTACTAACGAAAATTGAACTTGAGAATGTTAAAGAGTATTTACGTCAGCAAGAGATCATTCAAAAATACCACGAAGGTAAGACTAATCATCGCGGTATTACTGAGTGTTATCTAGCCTTATCTAAAAAATATTTTTGGCCAAAAATGAAGGAAAATATCGCGAAATATATTAATGAATGTAACATATGTGGTCAAGCGAAATACGACCGAAATCCGATTAAACAACAGTTTCATATCGTACCTCCACCAACAAAACCATTTGAAATTATACATTTAGATCTATTTACAGTAGAAACCGAAAAATATCTTACTTTAGTAGACGCGTTTTCTAAATACAGTCAGGCGTATCATCTCAGAGATGGTACAGCTATAAGTGTAGTCCAGGCTTTATTGAAGTTTTGTACACATCACGGCATTCCAACTATAGTAGTATCAGATCGTGGGACAGAATTCACGAACCAATTATTTTTAGAGTTTACCCGTGTTCATAAAATACAGCATCATAAAATCTTAGCACACGCTCCAAATGAAAATGGAATAGTAGAACGTTTCCACTCTACACTTTTAGAGCATTTACGTTTACTTAAACTGAACCATCGCGCCGAATCTGTAGTTAATTTAATGTCATATGCTATTCTCGCATACAATAGCTCAATACATAGCTTTACTAAGTGCAGGCCGTTAGACGTTATAACTGGTCATTTCGACCCTCGTGATCCTTTAGATATCGAACTGTCTGGACATCTTCTACAGCAATACATAATAGATCACCGAAACAAAATGAGTAAATTATATGAAATGATACAAGAATCATCCTTACAACGTCGTACCGATATTATAGAAAATCGTAATAAGAATAGAGAGCCTGAGGAAACTTATAACCCAGAACAAAACATTTTCATTAAAAACCCTATGGCTAGCCGCCAAAAGCTTGCACCTCGCTATACTCACGATACTATATTAGCTGATCTCCCGATTCATATTTACTCTAAGAAAAAGCGCGGTCCCGTAGCAAAATCTAGGCTTAAGAGAGTCCCTAACAGCGCTCGCTTGTTACAGGATAATAACGGTGGTCCTGCTACAAGCAATGGGAATGGCGCAAGAGATAACACTTGACAGCCTGGAAGACGGTCCGGGTATCCTTCCTTTTAAATTAGGCCCTTCAAAAATAATTTCTAATTATCACGCATTTTTACAATTTATAGATATAGCTTACATTAGGTCTAAAGTTAATCTCGTGAAATTACAGTTAAATGAAGTTCGGCCTCAGTTAAATAACAAAACTATGTCTTTATATGAACCACATATAGATTATCTTAGTAACAAGCTAGGAAAAGTTTCTGAACAGTTAGACACTTTTGAAACTGGTAGAGTCAAGAGAGGATTAATTGATGGACTAGGATCTGTAATAAAAAGTATATCGGGAAATCTCGATTATAAAGACGCTATTTATTACGATAACGCCATAAAAACTATTCAGAATAATGAGGAAAAATTAGTCTCTGAATATAACAATCACATAAGTTTGACTAAAGAATGGATTTCTGAACATTCCATAATATTAAGTAATATAACTAATAATCAGAATAAAATTAAACAAATACTAAATTTAATAATGGAAAGTGAAGCTAACAGAGAAACCGAATTAATAAAGTATGCCCATCTGGCACAATTACTATTAATATTAAGTGATAACATAGAAGATTTGACAGAGGAGTTAGTTAAGATAGAAAATTTCGTAGCTTTTATACATACATCTAGTACTCACCATTCAATGTTAAGTTTAAATACAATAAAATCTATGTTAATTAAGATGAAAACTATATATAATAAAGACGAGATCATAGATATGAATCTTAGAGATTACTATGACGTCATTAAGTTAGGTTCTTATTACACTAATAATGGGATAGTTATAGTTTATAAGATGCCGATTGCCTCTCCAAATACCTATATACTTTATAAATTATCTATAGTTCCTAATAGAAACCACACGATTCTTATCCCATCCTTACGTGTACATAGAGACAGAATGTCCGAAGTCGAACACTTGGTACCTTTGCGAGATGAAGATCAACTATCGGACTCGAGATCAAACAGATTGCATCCACAGCCTCATCACCACCCAAAAACTGGACAAGACATGCCTGCCAACTTCGGTTCTATTAGACAAGGAAGCACTAGAACAACTGGACGACAAACACTACGTAGTCGCCTTTCCTAAGCCAACGAAAATCCAGACGTCCTGTGGGAAGACTACATATACTACGCTTCAGGGAAGTTACTTAGCAACGATTCCATCTGGATGTTACATGTATACGACGGAGTTCACAATCTCGAATAGCAACGATCGTATAAAAAGAACAGCAATAAAGATTACCAATTTGCCACAGTTATTGGATAATCCGTCAGCATCACTGAAACCAACGATCAAATTGAATTCCATTAACTTAGAAAACCTTCACGCCAGCAACAGTAAAATATCTATGCAGCATCCAATCGACATAAGAACAATTGAAGAGCCCAGTATCTACCACACTACGATACCGTTCTATATAATCATGTTAAGTGCAGCTGTACTCCTTATCTACATCATTATACGAAGATTCTGTGTAAAACAACGAGAAAAAGGGAACAAATCTAAAGACGCATCTCAGGAAATTTATACAGAAATACCAGAAGATAAACGAGATGCACCAACCCACATTGCAGCAACATTCTCGAAGAAAATTCTCAATAGTTGCTGATCTTTGGGGGGAGGTGTTATGCCCTCGCGTTATAACGGAAACGCCGATGCAGCAGATACCTCGATTACCTGAAATAAATAATAAATTGCGACAGCGCCGTCACGAGGCGCTGACTCGACAACACGTGAGGCATCGGGTCGCAACCTGCGGCTAACGCAAGAATTTCTGTTCACTTTGATTCTTACATCGAACATTGTCAATAGTTTTTAATTATAATAAAATTAATTGTAATTTTTCTTATCTTTAATAAATTTCTTTGGGGAAAATCATTTTTTTTGCATCCTACGCTGCCGTCGTCCTTAATTGATTTGGTATAGAAGTAAAAAATACTACTTACAATTACAATAACATTGGTATATATGAAGTATGCTGCTTACGAAGTGATATATTAATAATAAATACATATATAAAAGTATAATGACACATATATTCTAGTCAGAAATACTACTTATTTAAAAATCATAAGTTACCAACAACACGCTTAATTGACGCTTCGCTAGTGTTAAAAAGGTCAACAATTATATTTTTATTTCTCTACAGACAAGAAATATGATTTGTCGTTATTAAAAATTATTACGTTTTTTAGTTATGGCGAAAAATGCGCTTGTTCTTCCAATGGAAGTTCTAATGTCAACGACAATTCCACTTGCATTGCTCGAGGCAGCAAAGAGTTGTGCAGTGGCCATGGTTTTTGTATTTGTGGTAAATGTACATGCACAAAAGATTCTCCGTGAGTATCACTAATATTACAAATATAATATTCCAAAGATTATTCCAATTCACTATCATTTATATTCATGATATTGTTTACGTTCAAGATATGAGGGTACATTCTGCCAATACAACAAAGGTAAATGTCCTCGGGAGAACAAACTAGTATGCAATGGACACGGTAGATGCGAAGATGAGAAATGTATATGTACTGATGATGAGTGGACTGGAATAGCATGCGAATGTCCAAAATCTACCAAACAATGTATAGGAAATAATGGGAAGGTAAATTCTTATAACTAGTGCACAAACAAAGAAGAGAAATAACGTTTTCCTTCGTAATGAATGATTATTTTTTTCCAAAAAACAACTAAAAGAGATTATCTATTTCCAGGTTTGTAGTGGTCTAGGAGAATGTATATGTGGGAAATGTGTATGCAACGGTACAGCATCTTGGGATGCCAGAGAGAACCAAGACCGCTTATGTAACATTTTGCCATGCCCGGATTGTCATGTGCCTCAATGCAATATTCTAGCAGATTGCACCCGCTGCCTTTACAGTGGCAGTGATCAATGCCCACAATGCACCCACTATAAAGCTGGTGTTACACAATCAGCACTTGATCCCACATGGAATATATGCCCGGACATACGAGTCGATGTCGGGTGCTACACTCGTTTCATGTACAAATACCTTGACGATAATTATGGTCTAGAAATGTTAGTCCAATCTGAAAAAAATTGCTTGGAAAGTTATTATTGTAAGTTTATTATAGTACACATTATACTTTATTATGTATCTAACTAAAGCTTTAATAATTTTCACGTGAATTACGTTATAAAAAGCATATAAAATTATGTAAAATTTTCAATACAAGCCGATAATGCCTTATCAAATTAGGGTTTACCCTGAGAATGAGATAATATAATAAATTATGGGCCTATTTCACCACTTGCTGGTAAAGTTTCAGAGAGTTATCTAACATAAAACTGATATTATTCGTTAGATAGTTCCAATGACCAAAATTTGCAATTTATCTGGCAGATAAATTACCTATCCTAAATTTAAAACGAAATATCATCGTTGTGAGAATTCAAAACCCGATTAGAACCGTAGCTAAAAAAATTGTCCTAGAGTAATACTGAGCACTCGTTAAAGTTGTATGTGAGCAGAAGTATAGTGATGCATTGCGGTTTGTATAAAAGAGATACACACAAACATACTCATATAATACAAACATAAACAAACGTACACTCATATACAGTATGAATATGTGTATATAGGTATATTATATACATTACATTCTTCACATCCAGTAGTAATAATAAGAATGCATGCTATTTAATTTTAAGTTTGAATTATGTAACTTTGTGAACTGGAACGTTGTTCTATATACAATGGCGGTGGGCGTTTGTGGCTGCAACGCAGTTTTTAAAGTAAAGCGTCTGCTTTCGTACACCATATAAAATGTGACGTATAAAGTTCCAACAAAAATTATCATGATATCACTAAAATTTATCCCATGGCTAGAATCAAGAGTCTATAGAGTTAGGCGTTCGCTCTGTTGAAAATGAAAAAATGACCTCCAGATGAAACTCAGTAGGGAAAAACAGGAAATTTATAGAAAGTAAATTTCTGTATACTTTATTCCAGTATATGGCGGTATATGTCTAGCGTCGCTTATTCTGATTGGAGTAGCAACTCTAGTGGCATGGAAATGGCTGACGAACGCTCGCGATAGGCGCGAATACGAACGTTTCCTGCAAGAACATCAGGAGGATTTGACGGAGCCTTGTGATAACCCTACCTTCATACCAGCATCAACTACGACCACGAATCCTGCTTTTAGAAAACCCTCAGTTGACCACACGGCTCAATGAATTGAAATACTGTTACTATTTTAAAGTTAAATATTTATTAAGCATAGTTCAGGTTGTTATTTATTCAATTTAAGTTCACAAACAATAGGGATTATCACCAATATTTGTTTGTCTGTCCGTTGAGTAGATAAGAATATTAAAACGTATTTTTTTGCGTAATCAATAAATTACGGCGATAGATTGAGTTGAAATGTCACATAGTTGTGTTGGGACGTAGCGAGCCCGTAAAACTTTAATCCCTATTATTTGAGCAATTTTTTGTTAATATAAGCAAAAAAATATACACGTATCTAATATTTGTCTATTATATAATAGACGGATCAAATAGAATTTCTTTTTTTACCGAAGCATCATCCCATTATTCCTAAAATTAAATAATGTGGCTGTAAAATAGATATAGTCGTAAGGTAAGAAATAATGTTCGTAGAAATAGTCATAAAATTAGAATGTTGGTAAAAATTGATAGATCAATATTAATTTTAAACACGAAATTAAAAAAAAAAAGCTTCATAAACAAAGTTCTATTAATGATAAAACCAATAAGGAAAAACATATACAACAAATTTTTCCTGTATATAGGTTACGTGATTAAGTCCCACGATAATAAAAATATCGGTAGGTTTTTTTATATTCGTTATAAGGAACTATTACCTAATAATTCCCACTATCCGCTAGAGAACTTAGTATTATACTGAAATACGTTAACATTATCCTGTGCTTATTGATCACTTTAATTATCTTCTTTTGTATGTTAACAAATAAAGTTTAATAATGCCGATTAAGTTATGGTTCCGTCTTATAAGCCCCCAATAATATTATAATTTAAATTGTTACGAAAGAATCAATCTTCTAAATAAATAAGTGTTGATCTTATAAAAAATAAAAAATCTTCTAAAAAAGACAAATAACAAATTATTTTATTATAATAATCAAAGTACGAATTCTTCCATAGTAAATATTTAAAATTATTTATTTATTAGTTACCAAGAGACTAACTTTTTACGTTTGTAGGTATAAAATTTAATAAAAGGATTATTATAATTATTTTTATTTAGGACATTTTATTGAATAAACGCCTAAGATAAAAATAAACAACCTAGCTGTAATACAAATTAAAAGGTAATAAGATTAAATTTTATGCAGCAAAACTAATTGCCGATTGTTGAACTAAAAAGTTTATTAGTCGACCATCTACATACAGTCACTTTTATACGCGGCCGACTACTTGTAAAATTAAATTATTTTCATCAAAACGTTATATTCAATCTAAAGTAACGAAATATTAACTATTTACTGTAAGAATTTCAACGAAATCAAAAAATCCTAAGTAGTAATTATAATGTAATAAACAAATAAAATGTCTTTAACTCTTAATTAAATTACAACACAAACATTTTATTAAATATATAACATAAAAATCTACCAGAATAAACAGCAAACTCATACTTTTGTACCATCTTTATATTGTTCAATAAATAAATAAAAAATCATGAATACGTATCCCTATGAAAAAAAAATAGAATGGTGACGCTTTCAGTCATGTCATTGGCGCCAATGAAAATGAACGAATACCTACAGCTCATCAAACAGTCATCCTTTTGATACGAAGGTGTGCGTATTAACTAATTACGGAACATAGATTCTATTAGATGTCATTTCAAAGGTATAAACCAATTCAACACTATTTATATGACTTCACAGCCTGTAGAGGCCGACTACTGATGCGGGGACTTCTGGGTATTTCACCCTAAGTAGCCACAGTTTTCAGAAGAATATGAACTTTGTTAGGAGAACCTAACAATACATGTCAAGCAGACCCCTTGTTAATCAACACAATGTGTTTTCTTTTTAACAGGCGTTAAATATGGCATATTTATTATGTTTATGTTTCAATATTGAGTTTAATCAATATTAAAAAAATAACACTAATTTATATTATTTTAAAATTAGCTTTCAAAACAATTACTCATAAATAAAAAAAAACATGCACCTACAATCAGTTTCAATAATAATATTTTTATTTCAATTTTTGTAAATTTTGATTTCAATATTTTTTTTTTATTCAATTAAAAACTAATTAAGACATACTCAGCTTACAAAACATAATAATAATAACACAACATCATTGTAAATTCTAAATGCAATATTATAAATTACATTAACCTTGTTTGGGTAATAATGCAAAATGGTGTAAAACTCGAAATTTTAAGCAGCTCGGCCAAAGCATGGACTAATATTTGTATTAGTCTAATACTAGTATTACTAGTATTAGTCCTTGGTCAAGTTGTGTCCAAGGAAAGTCATAGCAAAGAAATTTCGTTTACAAGCAATTCAGCATAATTAAGATTTGTTGAAATGTTAGTAGGTAATTCATCTAGAGTAGGTTTTCTTTATATGATGAAAAAATTTCATTCATATGATGAAAAAAATTAAATATATATATACATATATATATCATTGTGAAAAAAATTGTGTTGTGTGTTCAGTTTTATTTTGTGAAATAAAAATTCATTTTTTTTCTTGACAAATCCATATCCATTGTCGGTGCAAACGGGATAGCATGCGAGGAACAAATTACGGGACCGCTGCTACGAGTTGATCCAATATTTTCTGAATGTGTATATAGATGGCGCTAGCAGAAATGAACAGACATTTTGTTAAAGCCGCCTGTCCTTATCAGTAAACCAGTCCCTACGAACTAATATTCGTTACTAATTCACGTTATATTTCAGACCTATTTTTAGCTCACTTTTGTTGAACCAATATCGACTTCGTGTTATTATAATGTTTTGTTTATAGAATATGTTTGTTAACAATGATTTATCATATATTATTATGATCATAATAATAGCGTTCCTACATCACGCAAGCAGAGTTTTTGCGCGATGTAGTTTAAATACAATTTTTTTCCTTACTTAACTAGGGGAGTCCGTTTCTACACAGTGAAGTAGTGACGCGGGGTAAGAGCTATTCTAAATCTGCCCCACTCCTTTGAAGCAATACGCCTGGTCAGCTATTGTGGATAATCACGACGCCATGTCCGTCGTCAAGTCGATTCCGGTGGGCTAAGCAAAAAGCCCGCACAGCGAGTCAGTCCTTACTACGGTGCTGTACGAAGCCTGTAATCAGACAAAGGGCCCTGTCCCTTACTTAACAAGGCCGCCAAGGCCTCCTAGACAACACAGAGTTGTATACCATTGACAATATGGGAACGCTCGAGTGAATGCCGCAAGCAAATCAAGGTTCTTGAATCAGAGGATTTGTCCTCAACACCACTGATGTAGAAGATTCGACTCTCCCTTTTGATAAATATTATAAACATTATAAAGCTTTGTAGTTTTTGTTTCTTCACAAAAAACTACTGAACGTATTTTGATGAAATTTGGTTTACGGATAATTCTAAACCTGTATTAACATATATGCATTTTTTTTTATCCCACTAAACAGATCCGGAAAGCTAGTTCTAGTAATGACTTTAAACAACTAATAAATTACTACATTATTTTAGAGGATTAGTATTATTTCAGTTTTTTTTTGTCACATCAAGTACTTATTCATGGCGTAGTAATAATATTTATTTCTTGAAAATGAAACTCTGTTAATAAAATACCGTTATCCCACTAAACAGTTCCGGAAAGCTAGTTCTAGTAATAAGTTAAAACGACTAATAGATTACTACAGTATTTTAGAGGATTAGTATTATTTAAGTTTTTTTTTTGTCACATCAAGTACTTATTCATGGAGTTGTAATAATATTTATTTCTTGAAAATGAAACTGTTAATAAAATACCGACCAAGTGCCAGTCGGACTCGCATTTGACTTTTGGGTACGGAGTGGTTTAATAATCTTACATACTTTTAGGATGAAATAACGAATTAAGCATATACCATTATTTAAAAATAATGCCAGTTAAATACATGAAAAAAATATCCTATCCAGGAACAAAGGAATCTGCCCTTATCACCGGAATAAATGCGTCTAACGCATGGATCGTATGTACATGCATAAAAATTACATACACTGTTTGTTTTAATTGATGTCGTTCATAACTTCATAAGTTTTTATTAATATTCAGAATACAAATATTGATATAACTACTTTAGAACTATGACTTGTAACGTATAGTACTTATAGTAAAAGGGGTAAAATAAAAACCAAAAGGTTTTGTAAAAAAATGTCATAACAGGCATAGTAATAACAATGATTTGAAAAACTTCATCTTATACATATTGTGCACGTGCTAAATACAATTAAAGCATTAAAGTTAGGGAGCTCTCTACATCACAGTTTTTTTGAAATTGTACAAAAGTGTGACGTTATGCGATTTTACGCAAAAAAAATCGTGTTCAATTTTCATCAATAATCTACCTCACGGATAGACGAACAAAATTTGCAATTATCCCGATTGTAATATAATCGAATATACAATACCTATAATCCCGAAATGGAATTATGTAATTCCTTCTTAAATTATTCCTAATAGAGAAAGTTATGTAATTTGTCAACAAATATTTGACATCAAAGTTAAGTCCAAGAAATTTGTGAACTATTTACGGATTCGCTTGGCTTATTTCAACATGCATTAAAATTGCTATATAGAATAGATAATTTAGAAAACAATTTCAGTATTCCATTTTAGGTACATATACAATAATACTTTAGATGAAATATGGAATACTATTTTTGGTTACTTTAATTAGTGAAAACGTATCAAATTATAATAGATTTTCGCATCCTACAGCGACAATAATAAGATGTTGTCTTCTGAACATATTCAGAATATAAACTTTTTAGTCGTTAGGGCAAAAAGAGATTGTCTTAAGTGATAAAAATTAAGATTATTCTATAATACATAAAATCGTACTTGAAAATTGAAAAATATTAAACAAATTTTAGTGTTTATATTTAGATAGACATAAAGGTTTAATAAGGACTCCGTTTAATATAATTTTAGATTATTTTGTCTACTGAATAAATGAAGCCTTCATTTTTTCATCAAAATTGCAGCACCCTATTCCTAAAATTATTAAATTCTATTCTACTCTTAATGATTCTAATATTTATTGCAGTTTTTTATTATTCTTTGATTGACGTTGAATATTTGTAAAAAAAAAAAATTTATTTTTGTATACATCCTTGTGCTATAATATTGCAATAGAGAATAAATAATGAATACTTTCTTCTTAAATAAATAACCTCAGCTATGTAAAATAAAAAAGACTATTGAACAATTATTGGTCTTTTATTTATTGAGGAAATATTTTTCAACTTAATTTACTTTTTTCATTAAAAAATACTGTCTTGGGTACATTTTGATATTTCCGTGTCCGGTTAAGAATTTACAGCAATATTCGGAACAGGGACTAACATAGTATTGTCATCTAGTGAAAATTATTTTCTTATATTTTTGTGAAAAATTCGTGAAAATGCAATCGGCATAATTTTTATTTTTATTTTTTCAAATAACTCCGACGAGGTTTCAAGTTTTGATGTCGGGATAAATTGTAAACTATTATCAAAGTTAATTCCTTTTGAATACCTTACATTTTAACACATTAATTAAAGGCTAAAGAAAACAAACGCTTAAGAAAACACATTCACGTTATTGAAAATAAATTACATACCTACCTACTTCATAGTAACCACTAACTTACTGAAGCAAAACATAAATATCGTCACCGAGATGTTTATTTCCTAATTCCCTTTCGGATGGCAAATACTTTAACGTTACATTTGCATCAAAAGTGATTTCCACGAATTTCCTCGACAGTGTGCGATGATTCATCTCCGTACGATCGTCTGGTAGAGAGGTCGTATAGCTCCGTAGTCTTATACGAGCGGTGTCGCGGAGCGCGCGCTTTTTATATTTCGAACGTGAACTCTGTATCGAACTTCGATATTCAAAAGTTTGGATTTAAGAAAGGAATATTGTAAAAGTAGACGGGCAGTTAAACGCTTTGTCCATTGCTGTAAAAAGGTGAAATAAAAAATTAAAAAAAAATGAGGACAATGGCGGGTTTTGTGATTTTTTCGGTGGTGGTTGCGAGTTTATTGGAGCAAGTTTTCGCGATCAACTGTCTGAGTATTAGCCTCGAGAAGATAATGAACTGCAATGACTGTATCCGATGTGGAGGATACTGGTGCAACAAACCTGGAGAGAAAAACGTAAGTTTAAAATTTATTTTAGATCTTTTACCTTCTTTATGATTAATGAAAACTTTTTATTAATACAAAACTAGACACTTATTTATGTTAAACGACAAACTTTATTTATTATGTATAAAACTTGCTTTTTGTTTCAACTTGTCAGTTTTGTCCTACATCTTTAACATTAAAAAAATCTATACTAGTATACATCAGAAACTAGTTTGTACTCGATACAATTCTAGGCCACTAGTAACAAAAAAATCACCTACCTTAACCGCTCTGAGCAGACTCGCTCATTAATTTCTAAGATATTGCAAGTACTGTCACCCAATCGCACAACGTCCATTACGGTGTAATATCAACTTTAAGCTCTAATCAATGTTCGATAAATTGAAAATTATGGCTAATGTCGCTTTAAATTAATGACAACTCTAATAGACATTTGTGCAACTGTGTGTAATAGTAAATTTAACTAATGTATGCAGTTTACTAGTTTTTTTTTAATCTAAATTCATACCTACAGGTAGTATGTGAAACTTATGTAACTTTTTTTTTTGGAAAATCCTTTAAGTAACGGTAACATCAGCATTATTTATTGTTGTGTTGACTAATGCTTCTGATACGCCCAACCAATAAAATACAAACAGTCCTGTCACCCTTTAACTAAACCAACCGTAAAATCTAATAAATTTTATTCCACCAACGATTTTCTTTATATTATCTGTAAACTGAATCTCTTTGAACGATATATTAATTAACAAACACTGGGGGGTGTGTATTCTTGTGATTCGACTACGATTTACCTGGTCTCATCCCCAGTAAAAGGTACACGGTAGGGGTTTTCGTGGATTAGGATTCCGGTGAAGAAGATTCCCAGGGATTGTGCTTAAAGCTTTTCCCTGACAAGTGAAAAAGTTTGTACAAAGCTCTATTTTTTTTAATCACTATATACCTTGATACATTTAAGGTAGAATTCAAAATCAATTTCGGAAATACAAATGTCAATTACAGATGTAAACTGGAAGCCTACTCTAATTCATTAAAAACCTAAATCTCGTGCGAATATAAGCGGATTTCTTACTACGATTCGTTCGTACCTTCCGTATATTTAATCGAATAAAAATAGTTCTACATCTGTATTTCTGATGTGTTGCTGTGAGTACTATCTTAAGTCTAAGAAAACCATAGCCAGAGAAACGGAAGGAAACAATTGAATCAATGAAGCGCCGGGCTCTGTTCAACTCAGGAATCGATCTATTTTTAAAAGCAACTTAACGATGCTGCAAAATAGCATTCGCTTACTCGACTTGCTCTTTAAACTGACGGTAATTTTATGAATACACAATAATTGTAGTTAACTGCTTAAAATAAAATTTCGAAGAAAAACATTTTACATTAAATATATTATTATATATTTATTGCTTTTGGGTTTTAGTGTTTTGAATGTTCTTACTATCCTACAAGTCTCCATAATGGAGTTTTAAAATGTCGCCATCTTTGAGGTCCCATGTTCGTTGCCCGGTCGAGTCAATGTAGAAAATGAAAAGTTTCTATAATGCGAGGGGTTTAGCTACTCATCTTGGAATCTTAGCAATGTATTGATATTGTAATATTTACAATTAAAATTAGTTAATTTTCTAAATTAATACGGTGACAAGTGGTGACGACTCTGAATGAACTAAAGATACTAATTAGTTTTCCGGAAAGAAAAGCCGCGAAATGTATATTGTGTAATATTTTTTTTTGTGTTTTATTGCAAACTCAAATTCCTTCCGGCTCATCTCTGAAATAGATGGACCTATTTTTAATGAAAGTCACTGTGTTATAAGGAGTAACTTAGGCTGACGACATCGAGGACAAGGTTAAGTTATTAACAAGAATAATGAGCAAAGAATATCTATGTAGTTTTAGGCTAGGTATTTGTGATATAAGTATAGATAAAAAGCTCTAGAGTTGCATATACCATTGTTAGGTGAAAAATAGTGTCATACTTATTTATGCCTTTTTCATATATTAATTTTTTGATATAAAATCTATTCAACGACATAATCACTAAAGAAAGAAATTTTTCCTTACAGACATACCCCGTTCAATGAATTCTATAGGGGTTTAAAGTTTACAAGAATCTAAAAATGGGTATGTCTGCCCAGGGAGCTGTTTACGTCTGGGGGTAAACCTAGCGTGACGCATTTTCCTCTAACATAACGTAGACACTACCTACTTATTGGTTTTAACATTATTTTCCTACAGTAAAAATTTTCTAATATCGTCATTAGATGACGTACGCGGGCAAACTAGTACTTTGTTATCTGTTTCATTCATTTATTACTGGAAAACTCATTGATTGGACATAACAATGCGTTTGAGATTTTAAATTTGTAAGAAAAAACGCTTCGAAATCCAACAGTCACAGGTGCCTGATACGAGCAAATATTAAATTCTAATTCTAATCTAAATGAACTGTAAAATATAAAATTTTAATGAACATCAATTAATTTGTTATGCACTAATCGATTTATTAAATATGCTTATGAAAATCTTGAAAATCTTGTGAGTAAATAAGGACAGTAAAATATGCAATTTAGAATGTCTGAAATAGAACGTGTTCCATAGCCAAGTGTCTAGCAAATTAGGATAAATTTCCCAGAAAAATGCCGAGTCGTTTCCGTTTGAAATTTTGATCATTTATCACCACAAACGGAGTGGTGGTGCTGAAAGTGCCAATGATTGTAATAAACAATATATTTTGAGACTGATTCAATTCCGTATTGATTTAATTATATAAATCAATATATGTATGCTATTAGCATGACTATGTCCTATTTGCCAAATTATGAAGTTCGTACAAAAAAACCTTAAAAAAAAAATAATAATTTACCGTGTTTGAATTATACTAAATATGAAAAAAAGCTCTAGTTTTTTTTTTTCAAATGTTGCTCTAACTAAAACTGCAATTTAGATACAAGTAGATAACTTTATTATGTATTAAGATATGTCTGCTTTTATTAGCAAAACAGTTGGGGGTATCATTTAGATATATTTAAACAATACTATCCGTATGTTTACAATCATACGAGCGATGTTTAATTATATTATTACGATGAATGCTTATAAACCCTATTGCTTATATAGTACTCATTACCCTGATGACTCTACACAATCACTTGAAGTGGTTCCGTCGATCGATCCTCAAATTTCCTGCACAACCCCATTTCCCAATATCCGCTCTCTTAACCAAACAATAGCATTACGTTATAAATGTATAATAATAAAACTAAACGTAACACCTATGTATTTACAGCTGTTTCCTGCGGCTTCGTCCGTGTGATGTTTTACGTGAGATAATATTGTTTACTTATGTTAATGTTATCATTTCAAGATGATTTTTGCACATGTCACTCTAGTCTTCCAATTATTTTCAAACCCCATAATATCATGACTCACATACAGCACATTTTCTAATCTATACTACAAATAAATAAAATTGGAATGTCTGTTTGTAATAACCTCTTTTTTACTAAATGCATATACACGGAACATACCAAAATAACGGTATTTATATATATTGTATGTCTGTAAATGAGTTTGTTTCGGCTCATCTCCAAAACAGTTGGACCTATTTTGAAAGGTCTATTTTGAATTTGAATAATTGAAAAAAAATAAAAGTCACTGTGTTATAAGGAGTAACTTAGGCTGACGAAATCGAGGACAAGGCTAGTTATTAACAAGAATAATAAGCAAAGAATATATATATAGGCTAGGTATTTGTGATATTAGTATAAATTAAAAAAAACTCTAGTTGCATATTGATGACACATACCATTGTTAGGTGAAAAATAGTGTCATAGTTATTTTTGTCTTTTTCATGAACGAAGAATGTTGGCGTAATGCCATAAACAGTACGTTTTTTCCTTAACAAGCTTTTGCCTATGAATTTCAATGAGCAGCCTTAGAATTTGTAATCCAGAGAACAGGGAATGAAAAGTATGTCAGCATAAAATATCTCTATTAATATAGAAGTCTATGATAGTTTAATAATTTTTAACTTTTTAAAAATCATAAAAATCTAAGTGCATAACTTTATAACATGTTCAATAATGTCAACAGACGGTAATAAAAAAATGCTATTAAATTCTATTATTATTGAATGGATAATATTTATGATAAGAGCACCAGGATGAAAAAATATCTAGATCAGTATAATATAATCTAGATATTTTTATTGGTCTGTTGGTTTTTGAGCCTATTCGATGCAAATAAACATACAATCTTATATTTTCTCTTTCTAATATTAGTATAGATATATGTATGTTTTAAAGTTTAGTTATTATACAATTCAAAAAAAATCTGTAAGTCATTAGAAGTGCTAATAGAAATAAAAGAAATCTAATGATATCTGAAATTTCATCTGACTAATTTTCCAGCAACGTAATACAGAAGAAAATCAATTACATTACGGCGTAAAATTTCACAATATAACTAGAACATTTATTGGAATTAGACAAGAACCATGCTCCTCAACCTCGACAATAAACATATTGACATTTATTCTCTACTGCCATACATATGCCGGTTGTTTGAAACAAAAACAATGCTGTTCTAAAACCATTATCGGTTGGTTTAATGTTATACCGTATTGACTTCCAGTTACACGGGGTAAACGCATATTGCGCCGTGCAATGAAGTGCGCGAACCAGCAAACATCCGCGCAATCACACAGTTCCGTGAAATTATAAACACAACCCGCTGACCTATATATGTGTATGTGTTTTTTACATTCGACGTTGCACAACTTTTATGCCAGCCACTGTATATAGGGGTCAACGATATAAAAAGCGCCAAGGGCGAGTCGGGTTCACGTCCCGAGGTTCTAACTAAAAGATTGACTCTCCGTTGCATAAATTATCTTTATATCGGTTTAATAACGATTGTAACCTCTAATGACTTCGAAATATGTTGCTTTAATGCGATATTTCTAACAGCCAAGTTAAACTTGCCAAAAACCTTACGGAGTTACG